TTTTGCATTCTCATGGCTTCTTCAGACTTCCCTAGCATTGCAGTTTCATATGTATACATCTGTACTAGAGACACAAACTGCACTACAATTGCATCTCATTAGGGCTTGGCCGCTAACTGATCAACATACAAACACACACATACATAGAAGAAATTTCAATGTCTTCATCACTTCATTCTTTGTTTTGAATGATTTCAGCTTCATTTGTATTAGGAAATAAGATACAACTGGTTTGTAGAGCATGGGATATATTTTATCCTTTTAATCACCGCGTTAGCTAAAAGCATTCAACATGAAATCATGTGAGTTTGTTTTCTAGAAGTTGATTCAAACATTTGTAAGTGCTAGCCGTTAGTCTGGCTGATGATGAGTTTGTATTTGTTTAGAATTTTCTTAATTAATTTAAAAAATATATTTTGCAAACATAATTGCTCGAACCTTAATCTTTTAAGGGGAATAACATTTTCTTTTATAAGTGAAATACTCAATGAATTCTAGGGTATGTATATTAAATATTTAGTATTATACAAAATACGATAGCCAGCCAAGATGGGTGGAATTATTGTTAGAAAAAGATTCATTAAATTCACAATCCAAAGATTCCTAGGTGCTCAGAAATATAGAGAAGAAGATAATAATAATGGGAAGTCCAGCACACCACACCCTATAAAGAGAGCTGTACATAGAGGTTAGGTTAAACAGGCAGCATAATTGATGATGATAAAGATGCCGCATGCATGTGCAAGGTACGAAGAAGATGAAGAGAAGTTTCTTTCCTTTCTTATTTCACTTCTCAACTTTTACTTTTACTAGCATCATTTTCCCCTTCTTTATTTCTTCTGGTTTGAAGGTTAAACATTTCTTCTTGTCCCCATTTTAATAATGTTTGAAGCTGTTGCCTGCAGGAGGTGAAATTTAATGTCCAAACTGTGTTTTTGCTGTTGTATCTGTATGCCAGTATAGGAAAAGGATAGCAAGCTAAAAGCTTGCATTATTATTTTATCCGCATTTTAATGGCACAAGTTTGATGATAATGGAGGGGATATGTGCCAACATTCTATGCACTTAAACCAACTATATTTTTTATAATATTTTTATACAAATAACGATATTATTTAAATTAAGACTCAATTGATGTATATATAAAAAAAAAATTATTAATTTAAAAGTAAATTATTTATAATATTTATATTCATTACATTAACGATCAAGTTTAGGATAAAGTCTATTCAAAGAAGGTAGTTTACGATGAAGTTATTTGTACTTTCATTTGCTAAATGAAATAGTTAAGAATTATATATTTAAGAAAACTATTTAATTCTTAAAAGGATTCTATTAATAAAGGGCTTGATTACATTATCAAAAAAAATTATTAGCTATTGCATTTATATTATTAAATATGATTATTATATAAATATTAAGTGTAATTTTTATATTTATATAAGATTTATTTTTTAATTGAATGAATCTAAAATTTAAATTAAATAATTATAACAAATTATGTAAAAATATCTTATTTTTTATTATTAGAGAAAAATAAAAATATTTAAAATTATTAATTTAATCTAGATTTTGTTGCCCTCCAGTTACAAGGTTTCATCTTGATTAATCTGGACCAACTCGAGTCGCATACTTGGTTTTGATGGGTGAGTCTCACAGCGGAGATTTTCTGTATACAAAGCTGTTTACCACTTGAATCACCGTGATTTCTAAATTGTTATGAAACCCAAATCTTAAGCATAAATGGCATTTTCCAACCCAATGACCCAACAAAATAAAAATGGAAAAACCGAGACAATGCGAACTGCTTCATGCAGTATTAAAGGAAAGGATAGCTAAAGAGCTGTAAATACATGGTCAGAAACAAAACAAAAGCATATTGGTGACTCAATCATGCCCCCAAATGGCAAGCTAATCCATTCATTGCTACAAAAATTGGGAATTTCATGCTCTCCAAATTCCTCAACTGAAATCCATTCATCAAACAGTTCCCCAAATCTGTTTCTTGCGTAGCAATCTACTTCTGAAAGCGCTTCTAACCCTTCAAACACTTCGTAGTCTTCACCCGAATTCGACAACTCCTAAACAGTCGATAACCGAATTCGATCGTAATACGAACATAAAAGATATCATAAAGAAGAAAAAAATGAACATACTTGCCCGGAAAGTGTAGCAGTGAGCTCATATTCATGCATGATCCTACAAAATAAAGTAAGAAAACATTAGTAAATGGAATTGAAGAAGAGGGTGTCTGAAACTAGAGAAACATGATGTAATATGAAAAAAGCTTGAACCAGAGAATCACAGCCGTGGTTTTTGTTGTGTTGATAGTAATGGTGGAGGGCTTGGAAATGTGCTGGATGGATGGATATATATATATATATATACCCCGTCCAGCTGAGTATTTTTTTCTTTTCCTGCAAGTAGTAAACAAGACACAGAGAAAGAAACAAAGGATGAAACAACGAGACAAAGAAAAAGGAGGCTACTGTCTGAATGAAATCATAAATTGATAGTAAAAACACAAGGACGAGGAAGTGAGGTAAGAACTGGACTTTATGTGATCAGCGCAGTGAGAAAGCTCCTCCGAAACTTCCTTACCTGTTGTTCCTTTGGGGCATAAGGTTCCGATTTCAGGACAGAGCAACTTGGGTGATGCTCTTGCTACATGCTTACGTTTTTTTCTTTTGGCATAATGTCTTTATTCAAATATAATGTTTGATTAAAATAATCTTTTGAATTTTATATTTTCATGTAATTTAGTTTTCATCATTTTATTTTAGATCAAAATATAACATATGATTGGTGTCACTAGAGCGTTGTTGTCTCGGTTGTATTCATAATTAAGAGCACTATTTTTCTCTATTTAGGTGCAGGGAGGTTGTTTTTATATTAAATTTTAGTGAAACTGATTTTAATTAATTGACCACTAAATAAAAAATTAATGGTTAAATAAAAAAAGAATTAAAAGAAAAAAATTAGTTTTAATTTTTATCAATGAAACTTTGATCTTATTTAACTTTTAAGAAAAAAATTTAAAACAAAAGAACATTTAAATATAAAATAGGAAAGTATAAAATAATTATTAGAACTTTTTTTAAAATAATTATAAAAATAATAAAAATAAGAAGATAATGAAAAATTAAATATTTATCGAAAAATAAAGTGAAAAATAATTTGAATAATTATTATGTTACATTTTTTTTATACATGGGCTACAGCTTGTGAATAACCTTTTTAAATGGTATAAAATATGATTAGATATGTGTATGATTGATTTGTATAATTTACGATATTTTTTAAATTATGTTCGAATGTAAAATTTTTAAGTTTCTATCAATTTAAAATAAATATTTTAAATATTTTTACATAAATATTTATATGTATGTATAATAATGAAAAGGTGAGTGCGTTTTATATGTTACTTTTTTATACAATGAGCTAAAGTATGTGAATAGCCTTTTAAATTGTCTAAAATATGATTAGACATGTGAATTATTGATTTGGATAACTTACGACATTTTAATTATGTTCGGATGTAAAATTCTCAAGTCTCGATTAATTTAATATAAACATTCTTACATAAATATTTATATGTTTGTATAATAATGAAAATATGTTTACTATGCTTATATGCGTAAAATAAAAGTGTATGATATATAAAATGATGATTGATATGTATATATGAAATTAAACATAATTTTTACTTCAGTTGTGAAGAGATTTGTTGTTGTTCTTAGAGGTCGTGAGTTTGAGCACCAACGGTTGTAGTAGAGTGATTTAATGGTCATTATCAAATGATTGAGAGTATTTCAAATAAATACTACTTTGTAATCATCTTAATTTATTAAAAAATTGTATAAATTTGTTTAACCTTAAAAAATCAATTTGAATTTTAAACTTATTTTGTATTCAGTGTTATCTTTAAACATAAAAAAAAAATTAATGTGGTCTTTGATCGATGGTTATATTAAAATATGTCGATGTGACTCGTTATCTCTGCTGCGTCACTTTGCTTAATATTTGACTAGGCGTCGACCATCCATTTTTAGACTTGCATTTTAACCCTCTCTCACCGTCTCAATTCATTGTTGCAGTTTGCTCTCTTTCCTTTTGCTGCAATGGTTATCTCCACTGCGAAATGGAGATTCATCCTTCCATTTCTTCTCAACGTAGCCAACGAAATTGGCCTCCTAGCTCCTACCTTCATATTAATCGTCACGCGCATCGTTCTTTACAGCACCATAGAAAGCTCCATCGTCAACATGATTCTCACTCCCATTACATATCTTTTTCATAGCTATCTTTATACTAATGGGGTTTTGGAGAGATGATTGGTACAATTTTACACACCAAGAAATCCTCACAAATCTGTCTGGTTTCTTCTCCCACGACTCCTCTGATTCTTCAATGACGTGACATAGCAGAAATAAAGAGACACGTCAACATGTTTTAGTGGAACTGTTGATCAACCGCAGTTTTCATTGATCAACGGATTAAATTAATTTTTTTCTAAGTTTAAGAGTAGTATTGAATATACAATAAATTTGAGGGTCACATTATTTTTCCCTCAACTATAATATATAATAGATTAAGTAACCTATTTTATGTGAATAATATATTTATAATATGAAAAAAATGACATATTTATGTGATGGAGCTCCCCGCTATTCTGGATTCATTCATTTCAATCGTCCAATCCACTTTTTGGCTACTCCCTTTGCGTTCCATCATCCATAGCCATACACATCTTTTTTACCACGTGATATTAATCTGAGGTTGATCTCATGTATTATTTCTGGGTTTTATGTTCTTATGTACGGTTGTGCCCTTCTTTTGTTAAATGTAACAATTTAAAATAATAAAAGAATCATTTATTAAAATCTGAAATATTATATATTTTTTTGTATATTTACATCATGTTTGTCTTCGTTTTTTGTTTTGTTTTGTTCGGTTCTACTAAACTGCAGCAGCTATCATGAACACTGGAAATTTATCAATAAAAAAAGAATAAAGAAGATTAGATTACTTGTAAAATCTGCTTGCCCTAACCTAACTGGCGTTTCCGTTTTCTTATATTTGCTGTTTGTTCGCCATCAACTATACAAAAAAAGAAATCTGTTTCCAAAACTACTTTTCCATTTCCTTTGTTTTCCATGTGTGACCAAACTTGTCTCCTGCTATAGTTTTTGCCGTGAGCTCCTTAGCTTAACCGGTGAGAACAGTGCGGTGAGCCGAGCATGATCGGATAGATGGTAGTTTTCAGGCCATATCCCCCTTTCCACTTCACGGGGGAAGAGCATCGCATTCTTCACCGCAAAACCGATGGCTTCTTTCGTGGAGCCATCATTGGAGTCCTCCGTGTTGCTATCTTCATCCATATGTACTGAACATGTAGAGTTCCAAATTCTCTGCAGTAACAACGTCAACCATTTATTAATTAACAATTCTATTCTATGGAGTTAAGCATAGGAAATGGCACATCAAGCTATTTATAGGCCATAACACAAAGGAAACTCTGTAACTAATACAAGGCGTGAATTAGAGATGTAAACAAACCTTAAATTCTTCGTAGTCAAGAACGCCATTGCCATCGACGTCTGCTTGGACCCAAAGCTCTTTCATCTCCTGGAAACTTAGTCCATGAGGAAGACCGGTTAAATTTAGCTGTAGATGGTTAGGAAAAGGTGAGAATTTTCCTTTTATCGCTCCCATTTGAATAGTTATTCCAAGGAAGTGAACGGTAAATACCTGTTTAAGTGCATCACAGAAAGCCGAATACGTTATGTAGTTGCCATTGTCGTCGCCCCTTAGAAAGTCAAAGGCATCTTTTTCATCCAATGAAGCCTTTTGCAGTTGATACTAGAACCATGAAAATGGAAATTAAATTTTAAATGTCAATATGATAATATGACCTAGAAAGACAACATTCAGAACAATAGTACAGTACGAAACTGCTGAACTACCTTTATTATACCGAAAGCTGCTTCAGCCCAACTTATTTTCAATGGTTTTATCGACTTGTTAGGGTTACGAAGCCATATGAAATCGACACCGCAGATGTTTCCTCTATGATTTCGATGGCTAACCCACTGTAATATATAAGAATAGAGCCAACACATAAGTCAGTAAACCGTGCAAACTAATCATACAGCAGTATATTGATAGAGAGATGCTAAAATACGAAATCGAATGTACAAACCTTGTGATCACTATCCGCATATTCATGAGCGATATCGTACGACGATTCAAATCCCTGGGACCTCAGGAACTTGTAAACATGCCCACGTTTGCTTCCGTTCCAGTCACTACAAGAACGGATAAAATTATACAAAACAGATGAGAATGTGCTGCTCTGAGGAAATCATCAAACAGTAACACTAAACATTACGCTTACCCGCAGAGTATGACAGGTGCTTGGCTGAGTTTATGTTCTCTCTGATATGTTTCGATATATTGTAGTATTTTATAAACCTAAGCAAAGAATGGCATAGAAAGAGATCAGTATTGTCCGCTAACTTCGAAAAGAGGAACCGAAACAGACATAGTCAAGAGGACAACAAAATCTACCTGGTGCAGTCTTACAATGGATAAACTGGAATCATGAGGAAATAATAGGTGAGTATTCACAATAAGTGTCTCTTGTTCGGTATCGTCGTCCTTACTGAAAGGGATAATTGATTGAACATGTAACAATTGAGCAACACGGTCTCCAAAGTCATTGAAGAGCCACTCCTTGTAATTTAAAATCCTGAAGTTCCCCTTGTGTACAGCAATCAACAAACCTGTGGAAGTAAAAGAATATAAAATCTCATGACTGCTACTTGTAACTAGTGAATACTTTTAAAAAGAACTAGAATCAAAACAAAACATCAAGTACTGAAGAAATTGAATTTAAATCTTTCAGGAAGGTCTGTACACGATATAAGGATTGTAAACAGCCTAAAAGATATCCCCATCGCCATCAACTGAAAAGATAGAGAAAATATGTGAACTATGAAGGAGCCGAATTCGGCCCCCAAAAGGTGAGAAAATTGTCATTCTTCGGTTAACGCTTTCGATAGGAAATGAGCCAAATGGAAGGCTCAAAGACTAAAGGTCATATGAGTTAGACATGAACCACCAAACTGAAGAATAGCAAGCTGCATAAAACTAACATCACAATTTTTTTGTGCCGAACACTGGGGTTCTCTTAACGGTTTTGAGTCTATTTAAGTTTAATCTACTTATAGTCAAGAAAACATATAAGAACGCCCTATTAATCTACCCCATTTGCATGAAAACTTCTTAAAAATTGCCTATTTCATGAGAAGAAATGAGTTAAAAGGGCATGTACCATCTCCTCGGTTATTGGTTCTTGCAAGCTTAAAGGTGTTATAGCCGGCAGCACCGAGCCTTTGTTCATACATTTGCACCAATTCTTCATTTCCAACCCAAAATTCCTATCATCGAACCAAAAAACCACAACAAAGATAAGGCTTATATCATCATATTTGAAATTAAGACTGTGCCTCAAAAAAAAAAGACTGTTAATAGAAGATAAGGGCACATGAAACCCACCTGGAGACATATAATGGAAGAGCTTTCGTAAAGCAGCCAATCAACTATCCTCTCATTTCTAGCTAACCAAAATGTTCTAAAATCACTTTCACGTACGCTCTGATTCTGTTCCATGAAAAAAAATGAAAATTAGCAGAATTTACAAACGGAAACAAATCAATGAAAGAGAGGAAGAAGACATCACCTGCTGGTCCAAGCGCTTGTAGATAGGAGCCAGGATGTTGAAGGTGGTACAAGAAACACAAGGCTCCGAGATGGATGAAGCAAATTTACCACTTTTAGTCCTCAAAATCGTTCCTTTAAAAGGAACAGACTCGTTTTCACTTGAATCCACATTAGCAAATTCAGGGTCTTTAAGAAAACTGGCCAACATCACCTGTTTCAAAAAAAAACATCAACAAAATCGAAAGAGAGACAAAACCCAAAGTACCAAATTCCCACATACCATTTCAAAATTTTGTCGCCAAAGATTCCTGTGCTTGTTGTCGTAAGCAAGTAGAACAGGGGAAAGGGGGAAAAGGTTTCTTTCTTCTTTTTTTGGTTCAGAAAGGGTGGTTGAATTGAAGTTTAGATTTTTCAAGGCTTGTGGACAGAGGCAGATGCAGGTGAAGAGCAATGAATTAATATGGTGGGGATTATTTTAAATTTGTTTCCACAAAAGTTATGGAGAAAATGATTGATGGAATTCACGGGGGGTTTGTTTACAATGAAAAACAATGGGGACCCAAGGTTTCACCTTTATTTTCGTTGTTTTGGGGGGAAAGTAAACAGCTGGATTTGCCTAACCTGGGAATCGCCTAGGCTGGATCACTTTTGGGGGATGAATTTAACTGTCACCATTGCAAATCTCAACTGTAATTCGAGGAACATTCCACTTTGATTTTAGGTACTGCCCATGGTTTATTTATAGTCAATTATTTTCAAATTAGGGTTGACCTTAACCAGATACCGACTTATTGTTAAGTCCGATATCATCATCAAATTCAGAGGGAAAAAAAAGAACAGAACCCCCATACATCCTATTTTAAGAATGACATGATGAGAACCTACTTTTGTTTTTGTTTTTTAATATTAAAATTAATGGTTTAATCGTTGCCTTTATTAATTATTATGCATTGTATAGTTTTAATATTTTAATGACGGAATCAAATGAAATTTTGAAAAGAAGTGCTTCCTTTTTTAAAAGGTAGCGGCCGCATATATTTACGAAAATAATGAAGGGGGATTGTGTTCGCTGTACATGCGTGGCTTAATTTTTAGCACGTGATTAAAATAGTTCAACTGGGTTTATCAGATATATATAATGTAAAGACGCATTTGTCAATTTTTTTCTATCGAATTCTTATCAATATCAAATTAATATAAAGCTATTTAATTCGACACATCTGTGAAAGTGAAATTTGAAGTATCACTAAAAATAATCTAAAGCTATTGCAATAACAATGGAAATTTTAAAGTAACAATGAAAAAAAAGTAATCTGAAAACTAGATTTAAATAAATATATAATATATATATATATATATATATATATATATCATTTTTTGTCTATATAAAGTTGAAGACTTGAAGGGTATGTGTTGGTTTCATAGAATTAAAAGAAAATTATGTATAATGGAAAAATACAATTCTTTTAGTTTATTAGAGAAAAAAAATCAAATTTTTCTAGAAATGATTTGAATAAAATTTTAATTCTCTAATTGATTTAGTGACAAACGAGAAATTTGTTTGATCTTTCAACTTATCAAAAGAAGGGAAATATACTCTCTTTTTTTTTTAAAATTCAAAGAAACTAATTAAGTAAATAATTTAAATAAAGATGTTTTTTACTGAAAAAAACTGATAAAATACACGAGTACTGCGAGAACTTTAATCTCATTCATCTTTGGTGCACTCTTCTTTAATCCCACCCATCTTTGGTGTACTGATAAAATAATTTAAATAATTTAAAATTCATTTTTAAATATAATTTTCAAATAAATTATTAGTTTTCAAAAAATATTTTTTTCAAGTATAACTTTTTTAATAAACTTTATTGACTTATAAAATATTTTTCACACGAGTCGCAATAAAATTCAGATTAATTTTGAGTATGCTAAGAAATATAACCAATGATATGTTTTTCAGCCAGCACAATCACTTTCAGTAGATTATGCAAATCAATACAAAAGCAACATTTAGGAGGATAAGAATAGAGAACAGTAGCTCATCACTCAATACTTATCTACTTCCTCAGTGGACCTAAGAGAAGGTTGGATCAAGGGGTTTCAAATTTCAATTTGATTTTGCTCACTTTTATCCACGACGGTTCTTTTCAAAGGAGACCTTAATACTTGCAGTTGCATAGCCGAGTTGAATCATTCCAGATGTATGAATCCCATTCAACCTTCCCCCTTCTCCAAGCTCATCCCTTTTTCAACTTCTACTCCTTTAACGTGTGACTTCCTTTTTAGCATCAGATTCAAATTCAAGTCATCCCTTTTCAACTCTTCCTTTTCTTCTACCCCAAAAAACACACTTATACTTTCAATGTCTAATTTGTTTTTTTGACATTCAATTTCAAGTCAATTTTAATATTTCTTCAGTTTTCATGGAAATCAGGCTGCTGATCGACCATGTAAGTTGGCGTTTTTAACAAGCCATTAGGCCTTTACGTGTTACCAGGAACCTTCGCACGAGCTACAAGACATTTTGTAGTCGAATGTACATTGTTATGGTTGCTTATTCTTCTTTCATTATCAAAACAAAAAAAAATTATTATGCAATTCATAAAAAAACTAGCTGGTCGAGATGAAAAAGGTTAGAAAGAAAATTATCAAATTCAAACACACATTTGTATAATATACCAGAGAAAAGAAAATGTATGGAACTAACGAATTTATCATTTCAGTATCTGTTAATTATCCGTTATTACCTCACAGATCTTTAATGAAACGAAAACAAACATAAAAGAGAGATAAAAATGCATCTGGCACATGTTGGATAAAATCATCACGATAGCAACAAAAGGCCAAAACTGATTATAACATGTATAAAGCTCAAGAGTCGAGATGCCGAGAGGGTGTTAGCAAAATATTTCAATATTGATTTGGTTTCCTCGCTGCTGCAAATACCCTCCCTACACATGGAATATTGTTGCATCCAAGGACTGGCACAAAGAATTACAAGAAAAACCTCCTCCGGCTAGTGTCCATTTCAGGCTGCCATTCAAAGATGGGAAACAATTAATGCCAGGGACCAATAATATTGGTAGAGATGGTTCGGTAGGAGGAAAAACATAGAAAACAGGTGATCCCAAATGTATTTCTCACACCTTTGGCATCAATGTATCATAGGAAATCAGGTGACATGAAATTACCTTGTGAACCCACTCAAATTCTCCACCTTTGGTATCAAATGTTCCATGCTGGAGGCTTACCAACTTTAGTGTGAACCGAGGACCACACTCCTGCAAGATATTTGCAGAAGAGAAGTTCACCCAAATGGATGATGATAACCCTAGAAAAGGGTAAAAGTATATCCATAAACAATCAATAACAGAAATATTGATGCAAACAGACCTGAAGACGAGCGATTACTTTTTCTTTACTGATGGTCTCACCCTTGGTATCTTTAGACTTTTTACCTTTCGACTCACACTGTTTGGTCTCCTTGGTTTCAAATATATACCTGATTGCATGAATAGACATTGTGTCAGAAAATTATACAATCATTTACAGAACATGCAATTCAGAGGCTAGAAGGCCAACCTATGATGTCGGAAGAATACAAAATCTCGTTGATTGTGAAAGGTTACAACTCGCCGACCACGAAAATTAGGAGATTGTGGGAAAAGCGACTGAATTAGCCTACGCGTACATATCAACAACAAAACAGAAACTATTAGACAGAAAATCCCAATGAAGGAGAACATTGGATTGAAAAGGAAAAGCACATATTTCACACAAGAAAATATTTTAGTTTCTGGTAAACCAATAAAGGGAATTCACAATCTCAATCGGAGTTTAAACATTTGAAATAGTAATAGACTATAAAAGAGACCGATATGCAACCTGCCAACACGATGGCCCAGGCGTGTTGTGAAGTTATTTAACACTAGCTCAGGCTCATGACTGGTAGGATTTCCATGATTCTACAAGAGCAAAATCGAGGCAATTAAAATGATTATTACAGTAAAAAATCTCCATTCTAAGAAGTCCAACATTTTCTACAATGAAAAATCATGGTCCATTCCATAAAACAGAAAATAAAGGATATCTTCCACAAAGTAGAAAGAACCAAAGTGTTACCTTAATATCCTTCCTCAAAACCAAACTGGAAAGCTTGAAATGCGCGGTAGGCCCATAAGGCAACCCAATAACTAGAAGAGCATCTACAGATAACCAAGCCAACTAGTCAGCCATAGTTCTCGTGAAGATTACAAAGCTAGATCCACCATATCAAAATAAAGTCCAATGGCACAATCCGAATAATATAATTGTGCAAAAATTCAAATCGCAAACCTGGTTCTCTTCGGTTGGTGTGAACTACTATAATAGATGTGAATTCCTTGTTATTCGCATATTCCACAATCTGCAATAGAATGAATACATAACTTTCAAAAAAACGACCTAAACTAAATGCTCCTTCCTAACCTGATTTTCTAATGTTAACGTATAACAGAATCATTCAAGAAAAGTATCATGAGAATTACCTTTTTCAAGTCGTATGTTCCTCTTTTAAAGTAATGAGCATTTGGGATCACCGAAAGCAATTCGTTTATAAAAGCAGGACCCCTCTGATAACATATTATTCAGAATATTCATCAAGACAAAAAATCATCTAAAATAAGTTTTATATAGACGCATAGTTTAATCAATAATGAGAAATACAGAACATAGAAGAGCATACAGTTGAATTGAAACGGCAAGTTGTGATTAATATCTTTGGCGTACGATCTTGCTTCAGAATCGCACTAAACTCATCAGCGTCATTACCAGCAAACAACTGGAGAGATAGAAAAATATTACTTATTGCCAGATTTCAGCATTTTATATATTATAAAACAGGAATTTTCCGAGAAAATGAAACAATGATTTACTTCTTCATCATCAGGCATGCAAACAGTCTCGTCAGCCTCTCTCGTATTTTCAATAGTGCGAGGAATTTGCTTCTGTGGAGGCTGCAATAATAACAACAATTTCAGCAACAGTTTGTTCCATTAAAACCTAGAGAGAGAAAAAAAAGGAAAATAGGAGAGGAAACCTCTTCTCCAAGCTCAATAGCGCGCTTTGCGGCGGCGTCACGAGCTTTAAGCTTTTTACGTTTCTCGAGCTTCTTTTGGTGCTTGAGTTTGGCGTGTACAGCTGATCTCTTTTCCTTGTTTTTAATGGAGGAAGGAAGTATCTCACGCTTCTCCTTCTTCATCTTTTTATTAATGTTTTGTATGTCCTCATCTCCTTCCATCCCTTCGTTTTCAGTATTCTTTCTTTTTCCGCCCATTCTTACTGCTTCGTTGTCCCAAACAACACTGATTCGCACAAAAAGAGAAGTGAAGGAAGAAAGGCGGCAAGGGTATCTAGGGTTTGTGGTCTTCAATCTTCTGTTTTCTCTCTCTCTCTCTCTTCAACTTCTGGTTCTGAATACAGTTGATAAGGCCCAATAATAGTCGTGGGTAAGTCCAGTTTACATTGAATTCGAAAAATGGCTTTTTTAGGTTAAAAGTACTTTTTAGTTTTCAATAAAAAAATATTTTCCTAATCAATAAAAAATAAATTTAAGATAAAATTTATAATTATGGTGTCCATTTTTCATTTTTTACTATAATTATAAATTTATAATTTTTTATTAAAAATTATATATTTAATAAATTAATTTTAAAATTATTTTTTTTATTTTATTATATCGATTCCATTTTATATCGTTACGTGAATACTAATATTATATACTATGATATTTTTACTCAAGTATCATATAATAAAAATATTTTTTATTTTGATACTAAAAAATAATTATTTTAAAATTAAAACCTATTTCGATCGTATAAGAAAAACGTCTTTTATTAAAATTGCTAATGAGGCAGTCATACGAAATGCAAAACCCATTTTTAAAAAAATATTTTTGAAAGATACATTTTATAAGATAATTTATTGTTATAGATAAAATTTTCATAACAAATATCTATTAATTGATTGAATAACTAAAAAAATCTATATTATCATATTTTATATAAGTTTAAAATTTGATATTTACCTTGATAATATAATATAATATATTTTTATTTAATAATAATAAAAAAAACCTTTCATGAAACCCATATCCAAAAAACAATTCTTAAAATTGTTTTCTTTCTCTTATTTTAAAACTAGAGTAAAGTATGGAAATTTTCACTTATTTTTTATATCTATACATTTTTTACTCGTCAAATTTAAAGATTTATGTTTTGATCATTTGAGTTATCGTTTTATTTAATTTTAATCTCTATGACGTTGAATAATGTTATTTTGTTGACATAGCATGTTAGTAAAAGAATCTAATTTTTATTTAAACCTATGAACATTAGAAAAAATATTAATTATAGATCTTTTTATAAATTTATAATAGTTTAAGGATAATTTTTCAATATATTTTCTTCCTCTGTTGCCTTCTAATAGTCGACCATTACGATTTCCCAAATAGTTGCAAATAAAAGTTTAGAGATTAGAATAAAAATAAACTCTTTTTTGTTAATAGTGAAATAAAGAAGCATAAAACATATGAGCTTGATCATGCTCATGCAAGAGCTGCAACCTTCGAGGGAGGAACTTCACCCATTGGACAGCCTTTAACCATTTTAGCAAGTTGTTCCGCTACTGCATTAGTCTTGCGATAAACATGGTTGACTCTTGTTTCCCACTCACGATCTAGGATCTCATGAACCAGTGCAACAACCACATTTTCATCCATTTCTCTAATTTGCCTGTTCAAGATATTCGCAGCTAACTTACATTCAATTTCCACCTTTACACGTCTATACTTCATGTTCCAAGCAAGAATCAAAGTATCGTGGAGAGCCCATAGCTCAGCATGCAAGGCCGAACATATTCCTAAACTCCTTGAAAAATCGATAATCCAATCTCCTTGTGAATCCCGGATGACACCCCCAACTGCAGCCACCGTATTCGATCCTCCCATCGCTCCATCAACGTTAGCCTTCACCCAATCCATCGCAAGTCCTTTCCACTTAACTTAGGGTGGTTCAATCTTTCATTCTTAGGTTTAGAGTTTGTGGCTAGAATCTCATGTTTAAGTCGAAAACTCTGCACCAACAAGTCTACATGCTCCACATAGTTCGGATGGAGTAAGATACCGCGTCGCCTCTTCCAATTTTTTCAACAAACAACCGCAAACAGCGTACCCCAGTGTAATGCAGGAATCGGGAAATTGCCTTATCCCTGAGCGTTAGTAATAATCCATTCTTCATGGGGCATACTCGGGAAAGTATGTAGCTGATCAGCAGTAAGCAATCTGCTCCAAATATCTAAAGTAATTGGACACCAACGGAGTGAACGGTTAATATCTTCCACGTCAATATTACAAATAGCGCACCTGTTGGAATAATCTAAATGTCGACGAAACCTTTCTTCATTCGTTAGCAATCTTCCATGGAGCGTGAGCCACAAAAAAACTCCTACTCTTTGAGGAATATTGAGCTTCCGGGCTACTTTCCACCTGCTGAAATCACGATTAATCGAGCTTAGGCTAAGACATTATAGGCCGATTTAACTAGAAATTATGACTTGCCTCCCAACGCCATGCTGGAGTACCCTCTCCAAGATTCAGATTCGGGGGACAAGTGTTGCGGAATACGGTTATTGGAAAGAGTAAAATCGCAACTGATAATTTTGAGAAAATAAAAATGAAAATAAAAAAGACACAAATTTTACGTGAAAACCCCCTAAATAATATAGGGTAAAAATCAATGGCAAAGGTAGAAGAATTTCACTATGAGAAAATAGGAATTACAATTTCACTATGAGAAAATAGGAATTACAATTTCTCTCGATCTAACAAGGAGAAAACAATAACAATTATCTCTTGATAAAAAAGAGAAAACAACTCTCAAGAAAACTCTCTAAATTCTCTAGTATTGGAAGAAAACTAGAATGATTTGGGATGATTTTGAAGCTAAATGAGTTAAAGTATTTATAGTTGAAGCTTAAGGACTAATTCTATAAATACCCTAAAATAAAAGGATTAAATTTATAATTTTTCCATGTCACTTTTAAACCATTGATGTCAATTATAAATCATTTTTGTTGCCAACTTTCAACCACCTAAAGTATGATAGTTAATTTCAACAAGTTGTCCGCTTGATGGCCACTTACTTTTCAACAAGTAGCAGCAATGCAGTGGAAAATATCATTAAACTTACAACATTCAACATATCAAAATTTAATGAAACTATAAAGTAAATGACTAAAACATAAGGTTTTTAAATTTTGTGAACAAAAATATACAAATATAAAAGATGATTAACCACTTATGCAGTTTACCCTTTATTTTAAAATTATTAAATATTTATAGTATGAGCAAAAGTATGCAATTTCTTACTTTGTCACTGTAATTGTTCCTCAATCCGATACTGCGATTTCAATCTCTGCGCTATGCCATGCGCCATGGAAGAACCCTCATTTTTTCACTCTCATCTCCTCTCCTCAGAAATCCTTCAATCCATTTGGGCAACATCCTTCTTATCGCCTCTCTCACCAAAACCCTATCGGAATGGAAACCTCGATCCAAACTCCATCCCCCTATCCGAGCCTCTGGTCCTCCAAATCCTCCGCACAAATTCCCTCGAAGCCTCAAAGAAACTCGACTTCTTTATCTGGTGTCGCTCTTCCAAGCCAAACTTCAAACACTCGGCCGTCACTTACTCTCACATTTTCCGGACCCTTTGTCGATCTGTGTTCGTCGAGGAAGTCCCTAATTTGCTCTTCTCGATGAAGTAAGATGGTGTCGTTGTTGATTCTAAAACCTTCAAATTCTTTCTTCATGCTTTTATTCGGTCCGGTAAATTCGATACCGCCCTTGAAATTCTTGATTATATGGAAGAATTCGGTGCTTGCTTGAATGCTAATGTTTATGACTCGATTCTCGTGGCATTAGTTAGAAAAGGCCAACTGGGTTTGGCTTTATCTATATTTTGTAAGCTTTTAGAAGCTTCTAATGGCAATGATAATGGGGATTCCATTGTTTGTTCACTTCCTGGTTCCGTTGCAATTAACGAGTTGCTTGTTGCTCTCAGAAAAGCTGATAGGATAGCAGAATTCAAACAAGTTTTTAATAAATTGAGAGGAAAAAAGGAGTTTGAATTAGATACATATGGTTATAATATATGCTTTGATTCTTTTGGATGTTGGGGTGATTTGGCTGCTTCTTTGTGCCTTTTTAAAGATATGAAATTGAAGGAAAAGAGTTTGAATTCCGGTTCATTTGGTCCTGATTTGTGTACCTATAACAGTATCATTCACGTGCTTTGTTCTGTTGGCAAGGTGAAAGATACTTTAGTTGTGTGGGAGGAATCAAAAGTGTCTGGTCATGAGCCGGATGCGTTTACTTACCGAATTCTTATACAAGGGTGTTCAAAATTGTACAAAATCAATGATGCAATGGAAATTTTTAGCGAGATGCAGTATAATGGGTTTGCTCCCGATACGGTTTTGTATAATTCTCTTCTAAATGGATTGTTCAAGGCCCGGAAGCTGATGGAAGCATGCCAGCTATTTGAGAAAAATGGTTCAGGATGGTGTAAGGGCCTCGTGCTGGACTTACAATGTTCTGATCGATGGGTTGTTTAGGAATGACAGGGCCGAAGCTGCTTATACCCTGTTTTGTGATTTGAAGAAGAAGGGACAATTTGTTGACGGTGTCACTTACAGCATTGTTGTGTTGCAGCTTTGTAGAGAAGGTCAGCTTGAGGAGGCACTACGATTGGCGGAAGAGATGGAAGCCAGAGGCTTTCTTGTCGATTTAGTTACTATAACATCACTCTTGGTGGGGTTTTATAAGCAAGGTTGGTGGGATTGGACGGAGAGGCTGATGAAGCACATTCACGGTGGTTATCTAGTACCAAATGTTCTCAAGTGGAAAGCTAATATGGAGACTAAATTGAAAAATCCACCTAAAAATAGTAAGGATTACACTTATTTATTCCCATCCAGAGGGGACTTCACTGAGATGGGGAGTTATGCTGGCCAAGCAATAGGCAGTACTTTTGATTCTTTAGATTGTGATGAGAAGGATCAGGAGATGTCATTCATTGAAAGTGATCAGTGGTCATCGTCCCCTTATATGGATCGATTAGCTAATCAAGTGAAGTCAACTGAACATTCTTCTCGGTTGTTTTCACTGATAAGGGGGGCAAAGAGTTTAAAAAAAGGGGATTGGTTCTTTCGATGTTGATATGGTGAATACTTTCTTATCTATATTTTTGGCCAAGGGAAAACTGAGTTTAGCCTGCAAGTTGTTTGAAATATTCACCGATATGGGTGTCAATCCTGTTAGTTACACATACAACTCCATTATGAGTTCATTTGTCAAGAAGGGGTATATCAATGAGGCTTGGAGTGTCCTGAATGAAATGGATGAGAAAGTGTGCCCTGCAGACATAGCTACCTACAATCTGATAATTCAAGGCCTGGGGAAGACTGGAAGAGCGGACATCGCAAGTTCAGTTCTGGAGAAACTAATGAAGCATGGTGGTTATCTTGACATTGTTATGTACAACACCCTGATCAATGCACTGGGAAAGGCCGGTTACATCGATGAAGCAAGCAGACTCTTTGAACAGATGAGGTTGAGTGGGATAAACCCTGATGTTATCACTTACAATACATTTATTGAAGTTCACACCAAGGCTGGTCAGTTAAAGGATGCATACAGATATTTGAAAATGATGTTGGATGCAGGTGTTCTCCGAACAATGTTACGGACACCATAATGGATAATCTGGGAAAGGAAATTGAGAAACTGAGGCTGCAAAAGTCATCGATCGTGCGCATTAATATCAACGGGGATGATACCTAAAGAGTTGTTGAAAGGGGATTATAAAGATATGTTGGGAACTTCAGGCAATGGGTTCTGTTTCATTCTAATTGCATGGAATTGTTGGAAGTTTCCGTTTTCTTTATTTCAATTACAAACTTGGGAGTTACATTGAAGTTTGTCATGTGTAATGTGACTTTCTCTTATATGAATCGAAACATAAGAAGAACAAAATTGGATTTATGTCTTGAATAAGAATGAATTGAATTGGTACAAGAATCCAAAGAACTCATTCACAAGGAGAGGAGGAGAAAAATGAGATATGGGGAATCAAGAATTGTCTGCTTTGAATGATTAGAATAGACCACGCCATACAGAAAATCTGAGCAAGATAAGCCAAACTATGTGAACCAAAAGCAGCACTTGACTGGAAAACTAAGTGCTACCTCCACTCCCAACTTCACAAAATCCTAGTTTTGCCATGCTGGTACCGGCGCATAAAGCATCATTGCAACCGCACCGGTACGTGATGCTGTTGACATTGCATACCAGCTTCGTTTTGAAGTAATTCACAGGGCATGATGCCGGCAGTGAACCTTGCACAGACTACTTCGCTCTCGATGGAAGGTAACCGGAGGAATCTCAAATCAACCGGGACCGATCGCACGACAGGTGGACATAAACGCTAGAAAAGGAAGATGGAAGAGATGGTGGAGTTGCCGTGAAGCACGGCATGTGGGGTTGAATATAACCTCTACCGCCAATTGGCTTCAAACTAATAAAAATTTAAAGACACGTGGTGGATTGAGGAGAGAGAAAAGAGGCGAAAAAGTCGTTTAACCAACGTCCACCCGAAATTTCCTTTTTTCCACGTGTATTTCCAAGCCCTGTTTGTGATAAAAGTAAAAACTGCATTACTTTGTATTCCAAAAAACTCTGTATTTCCTTTCAATAGCATGGACTTCTCATTTTTCTTTCTAAAATTTATTACATATATATATATTGGATGTAAATTTGAATATAAATATATAAATATTAACCTTCAAAATCCCGTTAGACTTATTAAAAATAAATCTTAAAAGATAACTCTAGGTTTTATCTACTGCCATGTAAATTTTTTTATATCTTGGTAAACAAAATCCATGACACTTTTAATGATTGAAGACCCACTGAAGGGTCTTGTTGATGTATATTAAATAGAATGACTGGTCATGGTGATCTGTTGGGTAGTAACCGAGAGCTGAAATTAGTGGTTCATTTAATTTGGAGTAAGTGAAATTTATGATTGTTATTAGAAGTGGTAAATTGGTCATTCGGATTTGGATTATGTCATTTTAGGTCTAGATTATATTCAGATTAATTTTATTTAGATCTGATTAATTTTATTCAGATCGGATTAGATTTAGATTGGGTGCATGATAAATCAAGTCGGGTCAGATATCGGGTCGGATAAGTTTAAGGGTGGGTCATTTTCGAGTCGGGTGATTATCGATCGTTTGTTTTTCACTTCGGATCAATATTGGATCGGTTGATTTTCGGTTTGAGTCAATTTTTGGATCAGATCAATTCAGGTTGAATTTGTTATGAGTATAATCAAGTGTGTGTATATATATAGGGTTATGATACACTTACACAATATAAAACTCTTTTAGTTGTACACATATTTAATATCGTTGGATGAGAGAAATCAAAGGTTGAGATTAACTCATTGTTTTTTTTTCCAAATAATAATCTTCACATTTTTTTACTTTTAATCTCAGTCATCTATTTTTACTCATCAAACAATCTTAAATTTGTGTAAAACTAAAAAAAAATTGCATTGTGTAAATTAATTTTGCCCTCTATATATATAATTATTGATATATTCTTATTAAAGATATGTATTATTGTTTGTTAATCTTACCGTTTAGGCTTAATTCGGTTATAAGTTTAATCAATTATATATAGATTTTTATTTCGGATTAATTTTGGTTTGAGTTACTTTCTGTTCGGTTTACTTTCGGTTCGGATTAAATTTGATTCATGTTGCTTTCAATTCTAGTTATTTTCGGTTCAAATTATTTTAGGTATTTATGTAAAGAGAAGGAAGGATTTATATCATTTGATCATTATTTTTTGTATTTATGTTTTTGTTGCATTGAAAAAAAAAACTTAATTTATTTATTTCGTGTGTTGTTCATCTCTTTTCTTTTTCATCTTTGTTGATCGATAACGACATTAACTTTAATATTGATTGTCGACTGTCAGTATTATTTATTTTCTTTTTCGTTTCTATATCATATATCTTTATTTTTTTTTTATTTTTTTATTTTCAATAAATCTGCATGTGTTGCACGTTTTCATATGTTTTTATGGCATATTTTTTTTTATGTTTTTTTGGCATTTTTTTGATTCTTTGCCCGTTTTTTTTTTAATATTTTTTCTAAGAGTTGATTTGATATTTTCACGACTAATGAAAATGACACTTATATGTTATCTTGTGATATTCCTTGCTTTTGACTCTCAGATTGAATTTGGATATCCGATTTACGTTCGTGGATGGCTTTTCACGTCGCTCGAGTCTGATTTACGGTTTGTCGGTGGTCTTTCAATAGTTTGATCCCCTTTTGTGATTCGTTTGACGATGCAATCAGATATGTTTGTATTTATCTTTGTTCGAGTTTCTTGGTTAAATTTAATCTTTCTTTATATGGTTCTTATGTGATCAAATTTTTTTTGAATAAAATTAATTACTTATATAAAAAATATTTTTTGTTTAATTGATTTATTAGTTCTTTTAATTTTAACAGAGTCATGTATTTCATAATATTTTTTATGACATAAAGTATTTTAGTTTTTTCATTGAATAAGTGAAGACGTCTCTCTAAGGCATGTAGATATAAAGTCTGTTTAGTACCCATTTTACAGCGGAGGGTTATAAAAATATATCGTGATTGCACAAAGAGACATTTCAACCCTTCTTAATAGAGGGACAATGAATCAACTCGATGCTCTAATTAATAAAGAAATTTAATAGTTCGTTTTTAATATCGAATAAAATGTTGTAAATGATTTATCAATTTCTGATTTAAAAAATGAATAAAAATAATAATCATTTTCCTCCTCCACGAGCAAAGGCTCCCATGAAAAAAACATTCTCACATTGTATGAGTAGAAACATCTCTAGTTAAGGTATCCTAAGAGTATCCACATCCATCTTGTGAGTAGAGTCGAAAATATTTTTGAAATCAATTTCATTTTTAAAGATAAAAAATAGTGATTTCATTTATTTAATTATAAAATTGGTAAAAAAAAATCAATTTACGTAAATTTATAAATATTTAAAAATCAACCGAAAGTTAATTTAATAAACTTAAACACCAATAGTGTGTAACTTTTTTACGTTGGCAAACAGCACACACAATATCTAAATACAATTATTAAAATTATTTAAAAAAATATTAATATTAAAATAATATAAAAAGTAAATAATAAAAAAAAGAGTTAGTTTTGGCAGCTGGTTGAGAGAGAAATGAAAAGGGCGGTAATACTGGGCGGTTAGGTAACTGCTCCAAAGTCTCTAGAACATAAGCCACAGTATTATTCACTCTTAAATCTCATTCTGCTTCCCCATTCATTAAAATGCATTAAAATAACATTCATCGTCCTCTAAACCTTGCCTGCCTCCAAACCAAATCTTCCCATTTCCCCTCTTTCTGACCCTACAAAGTAAAGAATCTTCTTTCTTTTCATTTGATTATATATAATAGGAAAGTAATTTGTTTTATATAAAATGCTGTTTGATTTATTCGAACACATGTTTAAGAAAGAAACCTGGGGTGGAAGAATTTTTTTGTTTTTAAATGTATTTTCTTGTATTATAATTAGGTTCTACAAATGGTAAAAAGGCTTTTATTCTGCATGTTTTAGGAATCTCCAAAGACTTAAACTTGGTTTTTCTCTGGAGGACAAATAAAGTGGGTGATGTTGGGTTTTTGATCTTCTTCTTGGAGCCATTCCTTGCTCCATCCTGAGGCAATTTTATTTCATTCATTCTTCTTTTCTTCTTCTTTTTGTATTTTAATATCTAGAGATCATAAAATGTTATGTGATAGGAAACAATGGGAACGAAATTTTAGGTGAGAAAAAGACCAGTTTTTAAAGCTATTGATTTTGTTTTATTGTTTGAGCAGTCCACAAGATAACAGAAAAGAGCGACAAACAGGAGAACTGAACAAGTGTCAAGATATAGGCTTGTTCTTGTGCTTTATGTTCTTTCCTTGAAGAAGATAAATCTTTAATAGGAAAAAAAAAACAAAGAATGTTGGGTTCTTTCTGTGCTCCATCATCAAAGCCGCCGCCATCCTACAAGGAAAGGGTCCTGTCATCTTCATTCACTCATAATGCTGTGAGAATTGGGCAATGCAACAGTGCATTTTCCGGTACTCGGATCGATATTTTGAGGAAGAAATGTGTTGCAACCAAAAGATTTTCCACTTCTGCTGTTTTGGCTGATGTTGCTAAAGGTTTCATGGTAACTTCTCTTTTTGTATAGATTTTAAAATCTTCTAGCACTTGGTATTAAATGATTGCTGAATATAAACTTGCAATGCAGGCTTTCAGGGCGAATATTTTTCCGAAAAAAGAGGCGGATCCTAAGACTGTTGCCTCTATCATATTAGGGGGAGGGGCTGGAACTCGGCTCTTTCCCCTTACTGAAACAATGGCCAAACCAGCTGTAAGCTAATCCGACATATTTTATGCCACCTTTGAGTTATTGATTTTACCTGAACACCTACAACTTGCTTTCTCTGATACTCCACATGCTCTTTTAGGTCCCCATTGGAGGATGTTATCGGCTGATCGATGTCCCCATGAGTAACTGCATCAATAGTGGGATTAACAAGATTTACATCCTCACTCAGTTCAATTCTCAATCCCTCAACCGCCACATTGCTCGGACATATAATAATGGCAATGGTGTGAACTTTGGTGATGGGTTCGTCGAGGTAGGTTGAACAATTCTGAAGTCGTAAAATTCATCTTCTAAACCAGATCAATGTTACAAACTTTGTGACATATGCTTCTAATTCTGCACCCTGTCATGCCATAGGTATTAGCTGCTACACAAACACCTGGTGAATCTGGAAACAAGTGGTTCCAGGGCACAGCTGATGCCGTAAGACAGTTCTTATGGTTGTTTGAGGTACGACAAGGTGGCAAATGGAAATGTTATAGCATGCTTTTTCAACAATGAAAATTCTTGAGTTCACAAATTGTGTGTGCAAATTATTGGTGACTATTGCAGGATGCTAAACACAGATATATCGAGAACATTTTGATATTATCTGGCGATCATCTATACCGGATGGATTACATGGATTTCTTGCAGGTGAACCATAGCTATTCACTTGATTCTTTACTTTGCAATGTTGCCTTTTTACATTAATTCCTAGGCTTTATTAAATGTCGATCTCTATTGCAGAAGCACATTAATTCTGGTGCTGACATATCTGTTTCTTGTGTTCCTGTGGATGAAAGGTAATTATGAAACAAATATTGGGGAAAAAAATAAAAGACTGTTTACCAGTGACTGAAGAATATGAACAAAAGATTGACAGTTTTTCAGTTTATTGTACTTGTATAAGATCATATAGCACCAGTAAATGATATTCAATACAAAGAATATGAACAAATGCCTTGTCCTGCAGTCGTGCCTCTGATTTTGGATTGGTAAAGATCAATGAAAGCGGACAGATCGAGCAATTTCTAGAGAAACCTAAGGGTGAAAGTTTGAGGTCAATGGTTGGTACTTCTCCTTTGTTCTTATGCATAGATTTTGATTCCAGTCTTAACCATTAAACTGATTCTTGATTCTTCTTATCGTAACAGCAAGTCGACACGACTGTTCTCGGATTAACAGCTCAAGATGCTAGTAAACTGCCGTACGTTGCATCAATGGGTGTATATTTGTTCAAGACAGATGTTTTACTGAAACTACTCAGGTAATAATGCCAAAGCAGCAAAATATATCCCATAAACTGCATCAATGTTCTGGTTTGCTTCAACCAGGAATGATACACTTTTTTGTCTATTTCAATGTATATCATGGTATCCTCAAGTTTTGTGCAGCAACAGCAGATGATCTTTCCTTTTATTAATTTGCTTATTTAGGTGGCATTATCCAGAAGCAAATGATTTTGGATCCGAAATAATTCCACTGGCTATGAAAGATTATACTATTAAGGTATGCTTTCGAAAAGGTAGTCCGTATGTTGATACTTGCCAGAGCCTCTAAGTTGCAGTTGTTTGTACATGGCAGGCATATTTGTTTAAAGACTACTGGGAAGATATCGGAACTATAAAATCCTTTTTCGATGCAAATTTGGCCCTCACAGATACGGTAGTCCTCTTTTAAACTGTCCCTGCAGTTTTTCCTTATCGGATTTCACATTTAACAAGCTGGAACTTGTTGTCTCCATGTTTAAAGCCCTCCAAGTTTCACTTTTATGATCCTCTAAAGCCAATCTTCACCTCTCCTCGGTTTCTACCTCCGTCAAGAATAGAGCAGTGTCGGGTAATAATTTTGTTTCGGGCTCTATTCTGATAAAATGGCATGACTTTGATGCATGTAATGATTATGAAGTCACCCCTGCTTATTGTAGGTCGTGGACTCCATCATTTCACATGGCTGCTTCTTGAGAGAATGCAGCGTCGAACATTCCGTCGTGGGGGTTCGCTCAAGATTGGAACATGGGGTGGAGCTCAAGGTAACTCTTCTCCATTATTCATTCCTTCACTACATCATAATCATATAACATCGTTCTTCTTACTATTGATTTAAAATCTCGAACTTGCCTCCGATTTTGTAACTATCACCTATTGTCCAGGATACATTGATGATGGGTGCTGACAATTACCAAACTGAAAAAGAAATAGAATCCTGTTTAGCAGAGGGCAATGTTCCCCTAGGCGTTGGCAGAGATACCAAAATCAAGTAAGCTTGCTTTGAACACACACATACATATATATACGAATCATCGTACTCGATATATGCATCAGTGTTAGAACATTTCTTGGTGATGCTCTGCTTATTACCGGTTTTCTTACTGCAGCAATTGCATAATAGACACAAATGCAAGAATTGGAAAGAATGTTGTCATTGCAAACAAGGATGTAAGTACAGCTAGTCTATTTGATTAACTTGTTTGACTGAATAAAGTTTGAGTACCAAATCATAAAATATATATATATATAATTGTATTGACTGATGATATACATTGTCTGTTTTGGATGAAATGCAGAATGTGGAAGAGGCAGATAGACCATCTGAGGGATTCTACATTCGATCAGGAATTACAGTAGTGTTAAAAAATTCTGTAATTAAGGATGGAACTATCATTTAGTACTCTCTTTTCTTTTTAATTTTTTTTTCTGCGGGGATAATTTAAATAAGTTGTTGGTGAGGTTGATCTAGTTTTAGTTTTCATGGATCAGAATGTTTATTTCATAACAAATAAATAAATGATTTAGTTTTAGTTGTTGGTGAGGTTGATTTTATAATACATAAGCAATTTTAAACAATAATCATGTACATGATACATAACAATAATTAAGCTATTTATATATTTATATGGATGTGAACAATATTCCAATCAATGTTGCATTTTCATTTTTTTGGTTATTTTTTTTATATATTTTTTATTTCATCAAAAGAGCAATTTTATATTAGAAACCCCACTGAAAAAAAAATACAGGAATCATGATTAAGCAGGCAAACAAAAGTGCATGAGCAAAATACAAAGTCATTTATCCTATTTAGTTTGGACATAGATTCATTAGAAAGATAATTGAGAACAATGATGGTTGTAAAACTTAAAAAGAGAGATCGGAGGATTCATTCCCTTTATGCCTCTAGTCTCCACTATTCTCAGTGCCATGTGACAACTATCTACTAATAGACGATTTAAACTCATCATTCAGTCGAGTTTGTTCACTTGTATCTTATCTTCACAATTTGTCTGATGGTGAGGTCACATTATTCCATCCATTAATTACAAGGTTAATCGAAGTTTTACATTCTAAAATCATGAATTCTGTAGACGATTTAAACTCATCATTCAGTCGAGTTTGTTCACTTGTATCTTATCTTCACAATTTGTCTGATGGTGAGGTCACATTATTCCATCCATTAATTACAAGGTTAATCGAAGTTTTACATTCTAAAATCATGACTTCTGTAGGTACACTTTTTTTTCTTTTTGAATATTTTGAATAGTCAAAGTTGATTAAATGAATTGTTGATTTCTCTAAAGGTCTTGAGTTTGAACAACTACGTCTGTGCACTAAGTTCCGTAAACTTTACTAATATTATAAGATATTTGATGATGCCCATAATTCTATATTCACACCCATTTCTTTGCATAACTTTAATTGTTTACTATGATCGACCCAAGAAATTTTATTCTTGAAAAAAATCATTTGCTAAGCATAATTTCCATGCTTTGTACAGGCCGAGCGAGTTGATTTACTATTGTTGTAGGAATCATCCGGAAAGGAAGTTATTATAATTTAAGGTTGATTTGTATAAAATCTGTAAAGTCAGAAGACTATCAAGTGTCATCATGTCTTGATCTCTTGTGCTCAAAAGGAAGCTTTGATACCATTATGTTCTGTGGAGATAGATGCGTAGGGTTGGCGTACACGTGCGACATAGGTGCACGGTTTTGTTTAATGGTGTTAAGTCATGTGGAAGCTGCCATCGGATAGGAAGTGTAGGCACTTTGGTTTAGGCTTTAGAATTTTGCAAAGAAGCCCCACCGAGTAATTTACAAGAGATTATTTATGCCGAATATTGGCAACTTTATTCACTTTCAAGGTAGGAAGGAATATCGGAAAACCTTTTTAATTCCAGATGAGTATCATTATTACATTATGATGAGTTACAAAGCACTCATCATTCTCTTTGCTTCTTCACGAATCGACAAAAGGTTCGTCTTGATCTCCATAGAAAGCCTACTCTCAACAAGCTGAACAGGCAACCACATCTTCGGCTTGAGATCGACTGAATATGAAAGCGTTGTCTGAAATTCTTCACCAACAAATGCTTTGCCGCCTTCACATTTTCCTTCATTAAACTGCACACACACCAATTAAATAAGAAAGGAGGGGAAACATAAGTCAATTTCATCGGTGACACTAGTGACAAACACCAATTTCATCAGGCCATCAAGCCGGAAATATTTGGTCGCAAACTAAGTCAAGACCTTAGAAAGGAGGAGAAATTGAGAAGATGCCAGTGGGGAAGATGGCGAGAATCATTAAGAACTATACTTCTCAAGCCAAGCCTCAAGTTTTCTAAACATGGATTTCTTTAGACCAGCTAATGGCCTAATGCTGTACCATATGATTCTATAGACGCGCCCCGAAAGAGCAAAATGCACGAAAAAGAAACCGTGGACACCAACTACAGAGAACTTGGAACAAACCAGCAACATCAAAATCAAATGAGACGACAAAAATTGCAAAAGTAAAACTGTAAGTGAAATGCATTTGTGATAAACAAGTGCTAAGTGAGCCTAAAACCAATGCAAATTCATTAAATTATACGGCTTAGACATTTGCAGAGGAGGAAATATACTCGTAGCACAAACCAATGGCATAAATAAGTCTTGAGGGCAGAGCATGGATCAAAATTCAGTCTCGATTAAGCAGGAAATAAGAACTCCTTTCAGTTGATCCAAGGTTTCCTTCAACAATGAGATGTGGTTCTATACTCCCATGAAAAACAAATTGAAATACAAGATTTAAAGGCACTTAAACAGCTTAAGAGCAACTAATTCTCTACCTGCTCGATCAACCATGTTCCTTCAAAAACAATAAAGTCACCTTCAACCATCTTAAATTGAATCTCACGCTTTTTCCCAGAAGGCAAAATCTCAAGATCTTTCTCATAACAATCTATAACTCCTTTCGCATTAAATTTCAAACCCAATGGCAAGTTTTGCTGTCCAATCTGCCGAACAAAATGTAACACAATGATCAATAAACCATATTTATAAGTTAAAGAAACGGGAGATAAACGATTTACCTGATAGAGTCGAGCAAATTTGTCTCTTTTTCCCACAACTTTGCTGACGGTAAGAGCCGGAATAACATCAGACAACTTCTCATAGTCGGTCAAAATGTTCCAAACGGTGTCGAGGCTGGCTTCAATCCCAATTTTGGACCGAATTCTACGAGAACTCCTTCCAAGCTTTGTTACCTCAACAAAGACACCATCTTCGGATAATGATTGTGTTATGTCATCTGAAAGTACAAACCCATCATCCTCAATGTCAAAATAAACATCGTCATCTTCATCCTCATTTGTGTCGGAAGTGGTGGTATCGGAGTTGGAACAAAAAGGGCAGGGCCTGAATTTGGAGAAAAGAAGCCTGGGATAGGGAGTTGAGAGGAAAAGTGAGGCGGTGGTTTTGACGGAGGTCGATGGGTTGAAAAAGAAGCGGGCGGTGAGTACGACGGTGGAAACAGCTGTTAGCGGAACTGGATAGGCGAGCATATTTTGTGTATCTTAACCGAAAAACCACAGCCCCACATTTTTCAGTGCTAGAGATTTTCCAGGGGATTTCTTTACATCAGCCATTTCCTTTTAAGAACAGCAATGTTTCGAGAGGCAGAAAAGAATAGAAAATGGTGTCCATGGCCCAATAGTTTTATATCGTTTGGGTTGAGGACTTCAACCCAGAAACTGAATTTGGGTCTGTTTTACATATTTGGATTGAAAAGCTTACGTATAGATGAAATCAACAAAGTGTAGTTTGTCGTGGAAAAGATGATGATGATGAAAGTATATTTTGTTTCATTTTGAGACATTACGATCAAAAACACTTCTATTAAATAATTTCTTTTATTTTAAAATAAAATGATTTTTGGTTGGATGAAATTGTTACTTGATTAACGATTAACGTTTGTCGTTAGCGTGATAAGTCATATCTATTCAAAATGATGACGTTACATGTCATATATACATAAGTAATAACATAACACATTACACATCATTATTTTTGGACACAGTAAACTTGTTATGTCAATAATAATAATTGATCATTAATCAACTGACAATTACCATCCAATTAAGGAGATATTTTATCAAACATTAAGGGCGAATAACATTACACTTACGTCTTTTCCCAACAAAGAAACAGGTAAAGAAATAATTTTGATTTCTAAAATGTATAAAGACCATGGAAATGAAGAGATTATTAAAGGGTTTGAAACAACAGGCATGGAAGTACGTATGAATATGCACCTTGAGTTATGGTAGGTTTAGCCGTTCTTTGGATAGACATTGTGGATCTTCGACTTTGGATCTTAAATCTTAATAATGGCGAACCAAAAATTAAATTGTGAACAATTAATACCTACATTTCCTAAACGTCAACCCAATTTATAGAAGATGACTTTACTTGAAAGTTCTTCAATTATAATGATCCACTCCATCTATGGAGTATTTCTCAAGGGTGGTTTCTTACTTGCAATTAATCTCTATATATTCTATTTTACATTCTAACAAATAAAATCATTTTCAGTTTGAGGTTAAGAAGAAAACGCCTTTTATACCAAAACTAATTTAATGTGAAATTCTATTAATAAAATTAAACCCTTATATATATATATATATACTAAATATTATTAATAAAATAATTACATTAACATGATTCGAAGATTTCGTTTTACACACCAAAATAAAAGTAATTAAAATTAACATGATATGAAAAATAACACGAATATAACATAATAGTAAAACACATAAGTATTTATATATATCAAATTAATAATAAAACATAATTAATAAGTAATATAAACACAAAATGAATATTAAAATATGTTAAACTTTATATAAAATATAATATGATATGTTAAAATTTATAATAAAAAAACATATATAAGTTTGAATACAATAAAATAAACAAAATTCTACATAATTACATAAAACAATATTTAAGCTAAGATAAAGATCTCAAAATCTTATTTGCATAATAAAAATTTATTATGACGAACACTACAGAATTTATTAGTAAGATAAAGATCTCAAAAATCCTAATTGTATAATGTAATATTTTTAGGAAGATGAACACTACACAAATTATTATTATAATTATTAGTTTTTTGTATGCAGCATAATATTTTTATTATGATTGTGATTTATAATTATATATTAAAATAGAAATCTGGCATCAATCTTGCTAAAGATGAAGACTCCAACACATAAATCACATGTTTATTGATTAAAGCATAAGGGAAAAACTTAATTCTAGTTTGACAAGCTATTTTTTCCCTAAATCATACGATTGGGATCCCTTAACTTCATCTTAAAAAATTATTAACAACTCTAATATTCATATATGATCATTTTTTAAGGATCGTAATATTAAATGAAATTTAAAATTGAGATAAATTTATTTATAATATTTGATTTTTAAATATATTTTATTTTACGTCTTCTTATATATGTTTTATTTAGATTTAATTTATAAATTTATATTTATCTATTTCTATATATACGTTGAAGTTCGTTCATATTATTTTAAACGTTTTTTTTATTCAATTTTAGTATATTTAGAGGAACTGTCATGCAGCCCAAAAAATTTGAGAATTTTACATTAAATTTTTAATTATTTTGAAATTTTAATTAAACTCTAACCTAAAAAAACTCTGAATATTTTAAATAGTCCCTTTCAAATTTATAAAAATTCTCTTTAAATCTTTTAAAATTTTAATAAAACCCCTTCATATTTTGAAAATAATTCATTATACCCCTCGTATCTTTTAAAACTTCAATTACACCTCTAAATTATTTTAAAAACTTAGCTAGATTATGTGCTGTTTTGTCAAGATCAGATATTGATAATATTATATATAGATATATAATATTTATATCATATAAATTAAAGTATAAAGATGAAATTATATATTTTCCTGCCAATCTATTGTGTTATTGTGCATACAACCCCAAATCCACGTATGATTTTCACTCATTTTGGTGCATTTCCTCTCAATTGGCTTTCAACCCCCATTAAGTTTGGGTTTAGTACACATAAATCTTAAAGATACAATATACATAAATAACAATTTCCTTGTATTCCAGTTACACGTAGATATTACTGACGGAGCCTTTACTCATTTATTTAATATGGTCTTAATTAAGATGAAAATTATCTATGTTTTAGTACATGATTATGAATTGGTTACTCACCAAATACATGAAAATTATGTTACCAGTCATTTTCTGTGATTCTTGCTGACTCGCAGATTTAACTAGAAATCTAACTTTTACTGATTAGGCATCCCCAAATAAGATAAAACCCTGTTGGTTCCAATGCATGTTAACCACCTCAAGATGTCAGTTAAAAAAATACAATTGATTGATGAATGATTTTCATTGCATTTTGTTAAATCAATGATTAAGGAATGTGTTATATTATGAGAAAACGATCACACAATAGGAGATATTAAAATTTTACTGGTTCTATAATGAAAAAAAAGCACGAATTAAATATGAGACTTTTTTATTAATGTCGAAAATAGAATAATATAAGAATTTTTTATCAATTTGACTTGACTTCAAACCCTAACTCATAGTAACTATTTATAAGAAGAAATACTTTATTATTAAAAAAACTTGCTTAATACAAATTTACTTGTTATATTTTGACCAAAATTATAATTGGTAATTAAATTAATTTTTATTGTAATCCTAATGGTTGAAGATTACTTGTTAATTAGGTTTACTTAATAAAGTAAATATTTATTTTAGACAAGAATTCTTATGGAAAAAGAATCCATGGTAACCACGTATTTGACGCTATAAATAGATATTATATCTTTACCTTTAGGGTAATGGGAGAGAATTATTTTGGAGAGAGATAATCCTTTTTCAGATCTTAATAACTTTTGGGGCTTATGTTGCAAAGATAATTTTGTAGTGATGTTGGAAGAGTAATTTGGGATATATCGAGTTTTGGTATCTATATCGAGTTTTGATAGACATGTGATATCATGTATTTGTATCATTCATATTCTCTATGTTTACAGTGGATTGTTGTTCATCTCATCCGTTGGAAGTAGAAGAGGCCAAACCGCGTTAAATCTCGTCTCCTTTGCATAACTTATTTTATGTTGATATAACTTTGATTATTTTTTCACTCTCAAATTCCAAACAAGTGATATCATAGTTATGGTTGGGGCATTGAAGTTTTGAAGGAATTCCTTGTTGTAGATTTTGTTAGCGATTTTGGAGACATGCAAGATGAATTTGCTGCAATGAGTTTTCAGTTGCAAGGAAATATTCTCAATTGATCCGGCGATGCTTCAATGGATATTGCGTAAGAATTAAAGTTGTTGAAGACTTGAAGACCAATTTTTGATGAAATTTAGGTCAATGGGGAGATTTGTTATATTTTGACCTAAATTATAATTGATAATTTAGTTGAATTTTATTTTAATTTTAATGGTTGAAGATTACTTAGCAATTAGGTTTATTTAATAAAGTAAATATTTATTTTAGGTAAAAAATATTATGGAAAAAATTCTTTGGGACAAAATATTTAACTCTATAAAGAGAGATTATGTCTTAGTTTTTAGGGTAATGAGAGAAATTTGTTTTGGAGAGATGTAATCTTTTTTTGGGATCTCTGTAATTTTAGGGGCTTATGTTGCAGAGATAATTTTGTAGGGATGTTAGAATAGTATTTTGGGATAAACTAGGTTTTGGTATGTATATCGAGTTTTAGGATACATGTGATATCATGTGTTTGTGCTCTTCATGTTCTCTACTTTATAGTGGATTGTTGTTCATCTCGCCTGTGGAGGTAGACAAGGCTGAACCACGTTAAATCTCATCTCCTTTGCTTGTCTTATTTTATGTTGATATCGATTTGATTATTTTTTCGCTTTGAAATTCCTAACACTACTCATACGAGGTTTCTTTTTTAATGGATAAATTATGTGTTTAGTACCTAAACTATCAATTTTGGTCCATTTTAGTGTCTAAACTTTCAATTTTTTCAAAACCATACCTAACGTTTAGTTTTTGTTTCATTTTAGTATTTTTCATTAAAAACTTAGCGGAACTGTAACAATTTAACACTTTTTATGGGTAAATTACATCATTCATCACTAAACTATTTTCTCACTCCTATTTTGGTCGTTGAAGCTTATTTTTTTAATTTAATTACTTAACTTTCAAATTACTCCTAATTTAATTACTCTAACTTTCAAATTTTTTTATTTTAATTATATGCTAATAAAATAATAAAGAACATCATGTGACAAAATATTATTACTAAAAGAAATTAGAGTGATTAAAACATGAGTAATTTGAAAGTTGAGTAGTTAAATTGAAAATTTTTAAACTTTAATGACAAATTGGAGTGAGAAGATAGTTAAGGGATGAATGATGTAATTTACCCAATGTCACGTCCAAAAGTTACGTTAAATTTTTAATGGCAGGGGTACTAAAATGAAACAAAAACTAAACGTTATGAATAGTTTTGAAAAAAATTAAAAGTTCAGGGATTAAAATGATAGTTTAGGTATTAAATGTATAGTTTATCATTTTTTAATAAGCATTTCCTAATAGAAATATGATTCAAATAGAATTTGGGTCACAAATATTCTAACAAAACTCTAACAATTTTCATCTTGACACAAATTCTAAAAATATAAGGACTTCAAGATTTTTAAAAAAAAAACTTAAATTCAACGTAAAGTCTAAATTGAACAAAAAAAACAATTTTTATCTTGATAAACAAGTTATTCACCTCTTCTATCAAATTGTTTAATTGTATTAATCAACAATGATTTTCAACTAAATTTGTGGATTAACTTGAGAAAAAAACCATATATACTTAATATGAAACTATAATAATAGTTGTTGTCAATGGGTGGTTGTGTGACGATAGACAACAACCAAAAGAAATATGTTTTAAAATAATTCTGATTTTAGATGTTACATATATTTTATATATAGTGTTATAAAAAGGAAATTATAGAAACCGTGCTCAAATGAGAAATAATACAGTATAAGAAATGTAATAAATAAAGGTGAAAATATGATAAAATGTTAAGTGATTATGTATGACTATAGTAAAATATTATGTTATAAAGATTAATCGATTAAATTTTAAATTAGGTAGTTTTAAATTGTGATATGAAATAGTATTAAACTGCCTAGATGTTGCACGAGATCATATATAAATTGGAAATTAAAATATTACATTATGATTTTGTGTGGTTAAAGAGTCTAATAATAAATGTTAAATTAGGAGGTTTTAAAAGAAGCAAAAATTTTACCTGTTTCGAAGAGGAAATGTTATACAGAATCTTTGTGACATCCTTAACATGTATTCGAGTACGAATGCGAGTTAAGGATGTTACATCAGGTTTGCATTCAGACAATGCACAGGTGTATCAGTGTCGCATTTAGATAATGCATACCAGTTCAGTCATTATGGTTAGAGACCCTTCAGAGGAGTACTCATGGCGAGGCCCTTAGCAATGGATTAAAGTAAACTGATACACCTGCTTCAGTGATAGAGCAGGAGAGCTTTAACTAGGTGGCACTTGATCTAGGTCATGCGTGTATCTACTGTTTAATACCTTGTCTTCAGCTTGCTTATGTTTATGAAATTCTTATGCTGCATTAGATTAGCGATTATACTGTTGGGCTTTGTAAGCTCAACCTTCGAATGTTTTCCGTTGGCAGTCAGTAGCTTGAGCTGTTCATGGAGCACCATCACAACAAGACTTCCAGCATCTCCGAAAGAGTATTGTATTGTAGCTTTAGTGGGCATATATATTCATAGAACCTTACTCATGTATTCAGTTTATGAAACTCAAAGTTTGTATTATTTTGGTTTTAAATTATGTGTCAATGACTCTAATTTTGTAAAATATTTTTATATCAATTATTTATGTTTTATTTATGATACCCTTCAGTGTGTTTAAAAGGAAAATGATCAGATTTGAAAACCAGGGGTTGCCTCAGTAGCCCAACGTGACACTTTAGGCCCAATTGGATTTAGGGTGTTACATCCTAATCGCTGGCTGGTTTGCGATGTATAAAGTTGTATCTACATGTGATGTAATTTTGGGAATAATGTTCATTGTAAAGTCGCATGTATTGACACAATCAAGATTAAGATGTTCAATGAGATTATTCGAACACTTGGTAATATTAGACATGATCTAGATTTGAGTAGAAATCTAATTTCGTTAAGTACCGTAGATTCAAAAGGGTATAAATTCTCAAGTGAATGTGAACCTATGAAAAATTGCTAGAGTTCTCTTCTTGTGATGAAAAGGCAGAGAAAGATTACTAAATTTTATGTTTTACAGGGTTCAACAGTTTTAGATAATGCAACTGATGTTTCCTCGCCCATGTCAAATAATGTTGTTATTGGTAAAAATATTTTAACTAAATTAAGTAAAACAAGATTTTTTTGTTGAACAAGATAACAATGGGTAGGAAATTTATGTGAAGTAGAAAAGAGTTCAATTTCATGGAAATAACAAATTTAAAGATGGAACTATCATTGATGATCGAGATCGTGTTGTGCATGATATTACTCGTGTTGATACATTTGTAAGCAAAGTTGACATTTATGGTAATCATGTCGATGTGAAGACTAAATCCAAACTTATAAAAAGCTTGATTTCGATCTGTGTTCATTACCGATGATTATCCATTTGAGGGGTGTTGTGGAAGAGGTGAAGAACTTGTTTGTTGAAGTGAATTTTTTTTGTTAAATTTGGGTGTCTCATCAAATTTGTCTCATCAAATTTGGGTGTTTTGTATCAAAACCTTTACACTTTCAGGTCAACGTGGAGATTTATTAGAGTTTGACTCGAATTCAAAGTGACACGTATTAATTAAATTATTGGGGAAACTAAGAAACCTAATTTGATTAGAAGTAGAAACTTTATTTTTTTTCTTTTGCGTAGAAAATCTACTTTTAGTGTATTTCTACTTTATAAGTTTCATTTTTAATCAAGTATCTATCCCTATAAATATATATTAAGGGTAAAACTTAGATATCAAGTTTTTATTTCTCCAAAATTCTCTTATATTTTCTTCCTTTATATTATTGAAATTCTTCTCTTTAGTGTTTTCCATTTGGGTTTTCCACATAAAATCTCGATGTTCTTCATTTGTCTTTTTTATTGTGTTTATTTGTTTGTTGATAACCGTTCAGATACTATAACATTTTTTATTGATGTTTTTTTAAAAAAAATTATAAATATATCCTATCCGATCCCATTGCCATCTTACCCGTTACTCTTGTAGATGAGGTTTCCCGACCATGTGGAGAATGAAATTGTATATGAGAAAGCGAACAAGCCTAGATAAATGTAGTAGTGCACAAAATGCATATATGTTACATCGATCATATTTAAAGATAAAAGGTTATATGAGACTTTTGTACTTTTTTATATAAAAAAAAATTAATGTGGCCATTGAATTTTTTTCATTTAATGTGGCCATCAAATTTAAAAAAATAATTCAATGTGACTCTTTGACCAACAATTTCTATTGTTGACTATTACGATGCTAGCGTGATACTTCACAATGTCGACGTGGCAGTCCACGCTGGCTTGTGACGTGGTTGATGATGTTGTGAATGAGCTAAATTGATATTTTCAAGTTCAAGGATCAAATTTATTTTATTAAAAGTTCAAGGGCTTATTTGATTTTTAAAATATAAAAATTTTAAATTTTAAAATATAAAAATATAAAAATATTAAAAATAAACATACCATTAATTACTAATGTTATTTATTAACTAAAAATAGGTTATAAATATTATTATTTAATTTAATTTTCTTTTTCAATTTTTCATTAAAATTATAAAGGTCAACTTTGTCATTTTTAGTGGCGTTCGATATCGGTAATGATCTCTGCTGGTGGCTCCGAAATCCTATTTTTGTCATTTTTTAATCTTTTTTATTTATTTCATTCGCTTCATCAAATAAAAGAGAATCTCTGAAGTGTTATACTTTTATTAAATGATATACGAGGTGTGATTCTCTTAAATTAATATTATATATTTTCACAATTTTGAATAAATTAATATTTCGATATTTTGATGATCATATTTCATATTTTATTCACTTAAATTATACATTCATAAATGACAAGGTTTTAGACCAATATGATGAAGATTGGACTTATTCATAATTTTACATATATGACAATTATATTTATATTTATATTGATATTTAACAGTTGGATTATTAAAATGTTAATTGTATGAAAAGTTATAGAAGTATGTATTATGCTCTCATTCTGCTAATTGTGAATTCTCATTATTCTTATTTTCATCGATACATGAACAACCATTTTGACTGGTTTTTTTATTGTAATTTCAATGTAAAATAAAATAATAAATTAAATTAAATAATAATATTTTAAAATTAAATATAACCTATTCTTTTAATAAATAATATCAATAATTAATACTATTTTTAATCTAATTTTTAATTTTTTATGTTTTAAAATTAAAATATTTTTATTTTTCTATAAAAATCTAATAAGTCCTTGAACTTAAAAAAAATATTTTGGCCCTTAAACTTGAAAAAAATTTAATTTAACTCATTTGTCACATCATCCACTATAGACTATTACGTCAAAATCATGGACCACCACATCAGCACCATAATGTGTCGCATCAGTATCATAACGGTCAACGATGTAAACCGTTAGTCAAAACGTCACGTTGGGTTCTTTTTCTAAGTTCGAGAGTTACATTGAGTGCAAAAACAATTTGAGCGCTATATTGATTTTTTTTGGAAAAAGTACAAGGGCATTAGATACCATTTTTTCTAATTTAAAATATCATGGTTCTCCACGAACAAGCAACTCGATGGTAAAGAGATTTGTTGTTATTCCTTGAGGTCCCGGGTTCAAGCATCATCATTCAATTTCAAAAGGTAAAGAGTTATCTATGAACATATAATACCTTGTCTTTACCCCAAGATTAATAAAAAAAAAATAGCATGGTTGTGAAGATACTTGGGTTTTAAAACTTAACTACACAGATATATCAGCTCACTGCAAGGACAGGTCTTTAAAGGTCGGTGTTCCTATTTCCATAACAAGTGAGACAAATGCATAACGATCTAGACCATCCATGTCTTACCATAATATAATGCTAGATATACACACAACTCTAAAACTATCGAATAAACATAACCCCCCAAACTACAAATATGAACAACATGGAGCCTACTATCACATTTGTAACATATACTAATGGTGGCTTTGGTTTGATCCTTAGCTGGGACATCTCCACGAACTTGAATGGATTTTTCCTGCTGCTGCCAGCTGATCTTTCAGATCTTGAGTTCAAGACCGACATGGCATTCCTGTCCTGATCCATTTTAGGGCTTTTGTTGGCCTGCACGACGGATTTCTTGTTTTGGACAGGTTGAACAACAGGAGTATGTATGCCACTCTCTCTGGCCTGCAAAAGTAAAGCATGTGGAGCAAACAGCAGTTAGTAGTGTTGTAAAGAAAGCGTTGTTATTTCAATCCACGTATGTACTAGTTAAGTTTCCTTCTACACTGTTTAACCAACTTACCTTGTCTCTGAACACTGCTTTCCCACCCTGAAATCGGGCAAATTCTGTATGCCCCTGTGCTTTCCCACTTTGAAATCGGGCAAATTCTGTATGCCCCCGTGCTTTCCCACCCTGAAATTGGACAAATCCTGTTTGCCCCTGCGCCACTAACTTGTTGGATCTTGGCTTGGATTCAGATTTGCCGGCTCTTGAGATAACAGGCCTTTCCTCCTTGACCGATTCAAGACAATTGATCTCACAGGCTGTAACTGTCGCCGATTCAACCCTGGAATCCATCATCAGGATCTCGTCGTGATGAACACCAGTTTCCAATCGATTCTGATTGAGCCTTTCCGAATGGCCATGGTGAATCCCATCAGGCATATGAACTAGCTCATCACACTGTTATACAAGACAAAGAGAGGTTATGTCAAGTTTTCCAGTGTCACAAATATGAAACTCAACAAAGATGCGAGGAAAACTAAAATAATTACACTGCCAGGACTGCAGAAAAGCAACATTGTATGACCTCTTCAAGATGTAGACAAAACATAACTATAGACTTTCTATTTCACTGGAGATCCTAATACACCATAGGAGAACATCATAACTAGAAACTCGAAACTGTAATAAAATGTGACAGTGTCAGACATTATTCAAGCAATTGTTCTACTATAGTACTGACTCAGTTAGCTATTCGAGATTGTTTCTTTACCCATGCATTATCCCATATAGGGTCAGTGTCGCGTCTATCACCAGCAGAGTCTGTTGCCCAGTAATCAGGGCCATATATGTGCTCAGCCTCTACATTGGAATGTTCTTGGTTATTGAATAAAGAAACCATGAATTCCATTTCTTCCTCAATGCTGTCGAGATCATCATCAACCAACGCGTCAGAAGGTGGGGAATCGAGATCGTCATCAACCAACGCATCAGACGGTGGGGAATCAAGATCGTCAAAGGAGATACCTTCGTCAATCATGATCAGCCCATTATTGACACTGGTTGGAGGGAGATCATGTGAGCCCCTGGATGGTGAGAGATCAGAAGCAAATATTCCCTCATCTTCCATCTGCATCTGCAAAACCAGTGCATAATCCATACTGTCGGACTGTAGTTGACGAACCACCTAAGTAGGAATCATTGATAAACCAAGCATTAGTTTCTGTATATGCTGGCTCTACACACATGAAGAAAAGGTTCATTTGTTACTCAGCGAAAAGGCTGCTTGTAAGTCTTGTTCATTCTCACCTCCATAGACGTAAACCCAACAGGGGAAATAGAAGCCGCAAAACGTGCACTTGTCTGACCGACATTTGAAACCAAGTTTTCAGTTTTCTCATAAGCATTTTTCCTCAAGTAATCAGGACCATATATGTGCTCAGCCTCTACATTGGAATGTTCTTGGTTATTCAATAAAGAAACCATGAATTCCATTTCTTTCTCAATGATGTTGTCGAATTGACGTTGCCACTCATTTTGCTCGTCATCAACCAACGCATCAGACGGTGGGGAATCGAGATCGTCAAAGGAGATACCTTCGTCAATCATGATCTGCCCATTATTGACACTGGTTGGTGGGAGATCATGTGAACCAGTGGATGGGAGATCATGTGCACTTGTCTGACCGACATTTGAAACCGAGTTTTCAGTTTTCTCAGCAGCATTTTTCCTTAAGTAGCCGACCACATAACTATTACTCTAAGCAAATTGAAGGCCAAAAGAGGACCAAAATGTTAGGAATGCCATGCTATCAATTGTTCACCCAATTTTAACAAATAAAAATTGCAGGTTTCAATCAATTGTACAGCGTACTAAAAAAATGCAGATTAACATAACAAAATACAACTTTAAATCGTAATTCAGTAAGACTAACAGGAAACAATCAACAATCTACAGAACTATTTACTTGATCTTCAACAACTCCAGTAACATTAAAGGATATTAAAGTAAACAGAGCCATAAATAAAAAGTTGGTAACAAGCCATCGTATCATTCACCATATATACGTATGTCAGACTCAGAAGAAGGTGTAACTTATAAAATTTTAGGGCAAAAATAGATTATTAAAAGAAAATAAAAATCTAAAATCTAAAATATACGATAATTTAAAATTTTCAGGTTCTAGCAGCCCGCTAAGTCAATCCCTGCATATATATATATATAAACAGAACAAAAGCTTAAAAAAAACCCTTTTATGTCAAGTGAGCATGAAGATTACCGCATTATGAGGAAGGAAATCGGGATTGGCGCGGAACTCATGCATGACCCAATCGGTTTTGACCACCCCACGAGGGGTACGCCCCCTGTGAAAAACCAAAGTCTTCTTGGTACCAATCTGCCTGCCTCCATAACTCACCGGCCGATCCGCACCCGTTGATTTCCAAAACCCAGAGTTGGTTAATCTGTCCATTTTTTTCTCGGAAATCTTGTTGAGTTTGTAGAAGAACCACCACTCTTGATACGTCGACCGTACTAAAGACAGGGCTGTCCGCTCAAAAAAATTCAGCAAACAAAATTTTAAAGATTGAAAGACAAACAATGAAAATGGGAAAATATTAGTTTACCAGGTAATTCCCAGGGCTCATGCTTGAGCAGGTCGACCTCTCTGATATGACGAGTGGTTATATGATCATCGATCATCTTATTCCTGAGGTAGAAACTGATGATTTGTTCATCAGGGGGAAGGAATCTGAACCCAATTTCTAGTTCGATGATCATGTTCCCGATCGATCCCACCTTAAAGCTATTACGACAGAAGAAAGGGAGGTGTCAGTTTTGGGCAGCAGAGGAAGAGGGTAGTGTGTGTGATAGTGGAGATGAAAGTCAAGTTTTTGTATATATACAAAGCAAAGCATTGACTTGCTATCTTTTATGGTCTTCGGCTCGGTTTTAATCGAGGGAAAAAGTTTACGTGCCTTTATAATTGAGAAAAGAACCGGCAGCTAATTGGTTTTTAGGGATATTTAAGAATTTGAATCTCAATATTTATGAATAGAGGAAAGTAAATTGAGAAGATCATTTTTATATTTTTTCCGGTAATACAGCATGAAAAAAACTTGACTATGGTGTTTTCTCCATTTCAACTAGCGTAAGTACCTCTCTCGGTGGAGTATAATAGGTAGTTGTTCCCACCAGATAGCCCCTAGCCATCCCGGCAAGCTTATCCGCCACGTTATTAGTTTCACGTCCGATTTGATGAATCCTCGCTTCCCAGTTCCTGTTCAGCTTCTCATGAATAAGGACACCTATGGTATTACCATCTCTTCCACCATGGCGATTGATCACTCTCATTGCTTCCGTACAGTCGGTTTCAACTTCGATTTTTCTAACTTCAAAATTCCAAGCATCACGCAAAGCTCCCCCGCAGCCGCCATGTTCCCAGGCCCCCCAACGGTTCCATCTGTAACTCCAACCAATTTAACTCCGGTTTTTGCCATTTATCTTGATGATGCCTCTCCATTTTATGAGCATCATTGCTATTAATGAACTCATTCACCAATCGCTGACATTGCACCAATATGTCCTCACGGTCAACATAATTTGGCTAAAATATAAAATTTGTAACATCCTAAAAATCAGGCTAGTAACTAAAGTGTAAGATTTTAAAATTTTGTGGTCAATTTGAATAAATTGAAAAGTTTAGGGATTTATTTAAAATATTTTGGTGAATGATTGTTTAGCAAAGATTAAAAGAGGAAGGGGCATTTTGATCTTTTTGACAATTAATGAATTTAAAATTAGTTAGTGGTGTATTATATACATGATGAAGGAAATAAAGATTTTCAGAGAAATCTAGAATCATTTTTTCATCTTTTCTTCATCCTCCCTACGCGAGTGCTTGGCTAAGGTAAGAGAATTCTAAATTTGTTATTTCTTGAATTTTTACGTTGGTTTTGATTCTTGGCATTTTGATTCTAGTTTGACAAGCTATTGTTTTCCTAAATCATACGATTGGGATTCCTTAACTTCATCTTCAAAAATCATTGACAACTATAATATTCATATATGATCATTTTTTAAGGATAGTAATATTAAATAAAATTTAAAATTGAGATAAATTTATTTATAATATTAGATTTTTAAATATATTTTATTTTACGTCTTCTTATATATGTTTTATTTAGATTTAATTTATAAATTTATATTTATCTATTTCTATATACGTTGAAGTTCGTTCATATTATTTTAAACGTTTTTTATTCAATTTTAGTATATTTAGAGGAACTGCCATGCAGCCCCTAAAATTTGAGAAATTTACATTAAATTTTTAATTATTTTGAAATTTTAATTAAACTCTAACCTAAAAAAACTCTGAATATTTTTAAAGTCCCTTTCAAATTTATAAAAATTCTCTTTAAATCTTTTAAAATTTTAATAAAACCCCTTCATATTTTGAAAATAATTCATTATACCCCTCGTATCTTTTAAAACTTCAATTACACCTCTAAATTATTTTAAAAACTTAGCTAGATTATGTGCTGTTTTGTCAAGATCGGACATTGATAATATTATATATAGATATATAATATTTATATCATATAAATTAAAGTATAAAGATGAAATTATATATTTTCCTGCCAATCTATTGTGTTATTGTGCATACAACCCCAAATCCACGTATGATTTTCACTCATTTTGGTGTATTTCCTCTCAATTGGCTTTCAACCCCCATTAAGTTTGGGTTTAGTACACATAAATCTTAAAGATACAATATACATAAATAACAATTTCCTTGTATTCCAGTTACACGTAGATATTACTGACGGAGCCTTTACTCATTTATTTAATATGGTCTTAATTAAGATGAATGCAGCATCATAATATAACACGGGCAACCACCCGAATTTTCAACTTGAACTGAAATCTAAGAAGCACCACCGTTTCAACTGCAGCTTGTTGGATGACTTGGTCCATTTGGTCCTCTTCGCCGTCCCATATCTCAGGTATTACTTCTTTGATGTTGTGGATGTTACGTAACATGTAATCTGCTTCCGGCCTCGGTGTTGAGCTCCCAAACTGCCATTATCGTCACCATGTTAACCATCAGTTTATAGGTGCAGTGATCGAAAACGAAATCTTATACAGCTTACTATGACTTTGTGAAGCCCTGCTGCTTTTCCGGTTGTGATATTTCTAGCACTATCTTCGAAGAAAATCTTGAAGAAGGAAAAAGAAAATAGGAATAAGTGTTAAGAGGAAGAAAAGAAACTGTGCTCAAGGATTGAGTGTCTATTGTTTTCTTGGGGTCGACATTGGCGAGCTGAATAGCAGCTTCGAATGCTTCCATCGAGGGTTTACAGAGAATTGGTGACTTATCAGGTGGTTGAAGAGGAGGGTTAAGTGTCTCAAAGCATATGATGCCTTCAAAACATTCTTCCAAGCACAGCCTATTAAGAACTTGTTGCGCATGTGCCTTATCACCATTCGTTAAGATCTAAAAACATCGACAAACATCTTAGAACAGACAACATATTTTTATGTCTTTTTGTCATCTGTTGATCACTTACTATTTTCCTCTGTGGCATCGAAAGTAGTAGGTTTCTTAACATCGGATCTGGCCTCAGTGTTTCGTACGGCAATCTTCCATGAGCATAGGCATGAAACTCGTCGTTATCGAATTCATAACCCAGAGCCTGAAATTTCTTGAAAAAAGAAGCTAAAAAAAAACATAAAAGAAACTGACAGAAGGGAATTTAGAACAGAATAAACTTGAAAGTAATCTTTAAACCAGCCATAGTTGTTCCATATTCCCTGTACAATTCCAAGCACATTCTTGGTACTTCACTTTCTTCAATATCAAGGTATTTCAGCATGAATTCTGCCATTTAAGCAAGTGAAATTGCTTATATCAGAACGAAAAAGAAAGAAAGAAAAAATCATGTTTGTGTTTCATGACTTACCTTCTATGTTGAGGCGGCAAGCCAAGTTGAAACCTATACTCAAGGGGTAAAGAGCATCATCCAAGTCTGTAAATCATAAACAGAACCCAAAGTCGTAAATGGTTCTAAAAACTCGAAACCAGAGAACGATCGAGGGAAAAACTGCTACACGACACGATTTTGTTCCTAATGATTAAGAGATTAATCGTATGGAAGAGCAAGCTAGCTTTCGTATTTAGCTCCGGTGGCTTTTGCAACGGTCTCCATCTTCATGATTGTACATTAAAAAAGCAATAGCTAAAAGGACTTAGAGGTTAAGCATATATAGATAAGTTAGCCTTGTGTCCTCATATTGAGAATGATAGCATATTCAGCAAATTTAATTTAGATTTTGACGAAAGCAAGACAATCCCATTAACCGAGGGAGATGAGTCTAAAATAACTAATTAGAAGCAAATCACAGCGATTTTTTTTTTAAAAAAAACCGTAGACCTAATCAAAAAGTTATTAGATGGCTCAGGTTTACCACGTCATATGTGGTTCCTACCTAATAAAATCTATTCATCTTATTTTTTTTAAGGTGAATCTTCACATGTTTCCTACATGTAACAAAGAGTGTATGGTTATTTGGAAGTTACTTTGAAATGAATGAATTTTATTGATTGGACCGCGAATGATGTGATGAGCCAAGTCCATCTAATATTTTTCCACCCAAAGAGTAATGGAAAAGCAATTTTGATGCACGATCTAGTTGTGGCCGATAGGGGTGACCTGCATGGGTGGATCAAGAGAGCAGACGGAATCCCCATCTAAAATTTTTAAATTTTTATATATTTTAGATATTTTTGTAATTTCAATTGAAAATTTATTTCCGTCCCTTAAAATTTTATAAATTCACACTCTCTTAAAAATTTTATAACTTCGCTCCCTAATATAAAATAATTTCATAAAATTATGTCTCCATACCTGGTGATATATATATTGAATGATGTATTGATGCTGAAATTGGCCTATGTGGTGAGCATATTTTTTATCTATGTTTTAGTACATGATTATGAATTGGTTACTCACCAAATACATGAAAATTATGTTACCAATCATTTTCTGTGATTCTTGCTGACTCGCAGATCTAACTAGAAATCTAACTTTTACTGATTAGGCATACCCAAATAAGATAAAATCCTGTTGGTTCCAATGCATGTTAACCACCTCAAGATGTCAGTTAAAAAAATACAATTGATTGATGAATGATTTTCATTGCATTTTGTTAAATCAATGATTAAGGAATGTGTTATATTATGAGAAAACGATCACACAATAGGAGATATTAAAATTTTACTGGTTCTATACTGAAAAAAAAGCACGAATTAAATATGAGACTTTTTATTAATGTCGAAAATAGAATAATATAAGAAATTTTTATCAATTTGACTTGACTTCAAACCCTAACTCATAGTAACTATTTATAAGAAGAAATACTTTATTATTAAAAAAACTTGCTTAATACAAATTTACTTGTTATATTTTGACCTAAATTATAATTGGTAATTAAGTTAATTTTTATTGTAATCCTAGTGGTTGAAGATTACTTGTTAATTAGGTTTACTTAATAAAGTAAATATTTATTTTAGACAAGAATTCTTATGGAAAAAGAATCCATGGTAACCACGTATTTGACTCTATAAATAGAGATTATATCTTTACCTTTAGGGTAATGAGAGAGAGAATTATTTTGGAGATAGATAATCCTTTTCAGATCTCAATAACTTTTGGGGCTTTTGTTGCAGAGATAATTTTGTAGTGATGTTGGAAGAGTAATTTGGGATATATCGAGTTTTGGTATCTATATCGGGTTTTGATATACATGTGATATCATGTATTTGTATTATTCGTATTCTCTACGTTTACAGTGGATTGTTGTTCATCTCATCCGTGGAAGTAGGAGAGGCCGAACCGCGTTAAATATTGTCTCCTTTGCATATCTTATTTTATGTTAATATAGCTTTGATTATTTTTTCACTCTCAAATTCCTAACAATTGATATCATAGTTATGGTTGGGGCATTGAAGTTTTGAAGGAATTCCTTGTTGTGGATTTTGTTAGCGATTTTGGAGACATGCAAGATGAATTTGTTGCAATGAGTTTTCAGTTGCAAGGAAATAATTCTCAATTGATCCGGTGATGCTTCAATGGATATTGCGTAAGAATTAAAGTTGTTGAAAACTTGAAGACCAATTTTTGATGAAATTTAGGTCAATGGGGAGATTTTTTATATTTTGACCTAAATTATAATTGATAATTAAGTTGAATTTTATTGTAATTTTAATGGTTGAAGATTACTTAGTAATTAGGTTTATTTAATAAAGTAAAATTTTATTTTAGGCAAAAAATATTATGGAAAAAATTCTTTGTGACAAAGTATTTAACTCGATAAAGAGAGATTATGTCTTAGTTTTTAGGGTAATGAGAGAAATTTGTTTTGGAGAGATGTAATCCTTTTTGGGATCTCTGTAATTTTTGGGGCTTATGTTGCAGAGATAGTTTTGTAGGGATATTAGAATAGTATTTTGGGATATACCGCGTTTTGATATGTATATCAAGTTTTAGGATACATGTGATATCATGTGTTTGTACTCTTCATGTTCTCTACTTTATAGTGGATTGTTGTTCATCTCGCCCGTGGAGGTATACAAGGTTGAATCACGTTAAATCTCATCTCCTTTGCTTGTCTTATTTTATGTTGATATCGCTTTGGTTATTTTTTCGCTATGAAATTCCTAACACTACTCATACGAGGTTTCTTTTTAAATGGTTAAATTATGTGTTTAGTACCTAAACTATCAATTTTGGTCCGTTTTAGTATCTAAACTTTCAATTTTTTCAAAACCATACCTAACGTTTAGTTTTTGTTTCATTTTAGTATTTGTCGTTAAAAACTTAGCGGAACTATAACAATTTAGCACTTTTTATGGGTAAATTACATCATTCATCACTAAACTATTTTCTCACTCCTATTTTGGTCGTTGAAGCTTATTTTTTTAATTTAATTACTTAACTTTCAAATTACTTCTAATTTAATTACTCTAACTTTCAAATTTATTTTTTATTTTAATTATATGCTAATAAAATAATAAAGAACATCATGTCACAAAATATTATTACTAAAATAAATTAGAGTGATTAAAACATGAGTAATTTGAAAGTTGAGTAGTTAAATTGAAAATTTTTAAACTTTAATGACTAAAATTGGAGTGAGAAGATAGTTAAGGGATGAATGATGTAATTTACCCAATGTCACGTGCAAAAGTTCCGTTAAATTTTTAACGGCAGCGGTACTAAAATGAAACAAAAACTAAACATTAGGAATAGTTTTGAAAAAAATTAAAAATTCAGATATTAAAACGGATTAAAATGATAGTTTAGGTACTAAATGCGTAGTTTATCATTTTTTAATAAGCATTTCCTAATAGAAATATGATTCAAATAGAATTTGGGTCACAAATATTCTAACAAAACTCTAACAATTTTAATCTTGACACAAATTCTAAAAATATAAGGAGTTCAAGATTTAAAAAAACCCTTAAATTCAACGTAAAGTCTAAATTGAACAAAAAAAAAAAGCAATTTTTATCTCGATAAACAAGTTATTCACCTCTTCTATCAAATTGTTTAATTGTATTAATCAACAATGATTTTCAACTAAATGCAAGTCTTATCAAGTGTGGATGTATAAGATAACTTAATTTTCATATTGTTAAAGCCATCTTAAGCGTCAATTTTACTCATAATTATATCAACACAAATAATATGATGAACAACGCAATTTTAATCATCAATAACAATTATATTTTTCTCATTAATTATCCTTGTAGTAAATTGAACTCTCTTCTTAAATTCGTTATGTCATGAGCTTAAATCTCGTTTATGCTTCTTAAAACTATTGTGCTCACGACTGCTTTGTTTAACATAAAATTATTTTTTATTCAGTTAAAACGTTTTCACTTGTAAGGTCATCATCTGGTGTAGAGGAAGAAAAATCAACTCTATTGTCTAAAATTATTGAACTTGTAAAATATAAAATTTGACAATAGGAGAGCCATTACAAAATATCATGACTAATACAGCCAACATGCTTTGATAGCCAAGATAAATTATTTCTCCTTAAGACTTTGTATGATATATTAATTCTTAAGAAATTATTTTATAAAATATTAATTTTATTTAAATTATCAAATAATATAAGTTATCTTCTGTATTATAACCAACATTATTATATAACTTATAATTAGTTGAAATCGTTACGTAGTCAATGAGACTATATTTATTTTTCATTTAATCACGTTAAATCGTAAATAATAAATGAATCGATATCTTCTTATAAATATATTTTCTCTTTGAATCCTTCCCAACGTGTCCCTTTGTTCTTTCATACTAATTAATGGTAGATAAGAGCCTTAGGTTTCTTTTGGGCTTTAAGCCTTCAATAAAATGGACAAACATCATACACAATCACTAGGAAGAAGTCAAAACAACCCACTTATTAAACCGGACAACAAGAACACTACATTGAGCAATCAAGGGAAAACTACATAGACAGTCACTTGACTATGGGTAAGTTTTGCTTTTGATCATTTGATTTTAAAAAATATAAAATAACAAATTGACTTATCGAATTTATCTTTTTTGACTATGTACATTAAGTTTATAATGAAAATTCACACGACCTTTTTTTTAAAATTCTAAAATAATATATTTAATTTTTAAAATTTATACATTATACTAATTCATTTTTTCAAAGCGACGAGGATTTGATTTATCTTTTTATAATATTTTATTTTGTTCCAAGTTCCAAAACTAGGCAATAATAACATGCATGTTGAAAACTTGTACACTTTGCAGGCATCATCACTTTGAATTTTGGTGAATAATTTGTCAAACAACGTCGTGATTACACTTGCCGAACTCGATTGCACGAAAACGAGTTTGGACATTTCAATTTAATTGCTTTAAAAACAGGGTTGAAAAAAGTTTCCCAGAGGAAATATAACATTGGCGGCAGGTGATGAAGCAAAAGATGCCCTCCATGACTCATCCAACCCAGAATTAAAGCAGTGGGTCCAAACACAACACGGCTTCGCTTTCAGTTACTACCACTTCTCATGTAATATGCCACGAATTTGTAGCTATATTCCCACTTTCTTCGATCTCTCCTTGTCCAAACACTGCATGGGTTTTCTTTTGTGCTGCTTTCAGCGTAGGATTTTCAAAACTTGAAGTTCAAGTTTCTTGCTTTTGAATAAGGTGTTTCTTAAGATAACGTGAGTGTGTTAGAAAGGACTTTACAAGACAAGCACCACTTACATGGCCCTTGCTAGATTCATTGTCACTTTCCCATGTATCCAAACCGCCCGATCAACCCTCTTTTATAAGTTAACCCCTAACATAAAATTTTACGTTCGTATAAAGTGAACCGACTCTCTTTGCTTACCTAAGCATGATGCGGCACTTGGCATAAGCATTTTTTCCCTCTAACATTTAAATTAAAGAGACTGATTTCTTTGTGTCCTCCAAATAGTGAAAGATAACCAATATTCAGTGTTGGAACTGGATAAAAAAAAAGTAATAATTAAACAGGTTTCATGAATGGATTGCTGGTAATATCTTTTTTCAATTCTCAAAGCTGGTTTAGCTGCTGACAATGGGGATGAATGGATGATACGATGAGCAAATGATCCTTTTTTTTCTAATCAACAATTGGGTTACAGATAGAGAATTGCAACATCCCAATGCACAAATATGACCATATGCAACAAGGCCAAGAAGAGAGAAACGACACTAAAACAAGCCTTATTCAGCAATTCTAACCCACACACGCAAAAAAAAAAAGAGAGGCTAAATAGAATATTGTTTTTCTCACAAATAGTCCAAAAGCAAAGGTGATAATTTTTTTTTTTGGTATCAGATTCAGAATCTATATACACCAGAGTGAGTTAAAAAGAGAGAAAAACTGTGGTACACACCTGATATTGAGAATGCCATTTTTTTTTTTTTACTTTTTTGGTAAGTCAAAGAGAAGGGGCCCTTTCACAAATTGCAAAGGAGAAGCTAAATATGTCCATAAGCTGCTGTAAGTCTTTGGATGTCCTTAGCACACAAATCCGAATTCTGCACAGCTTCTTGCTGTTGCTGTTGCTGCTGCTGCTGCTGCTGTTGGTTAAAAGACCACATAGTGTTCGATGAACTATTGGTGAAGAAATCGGTTTCCAGTTTGATCTCGATATTGCACAAGGATTGTGTGGTTTGGTTCTGCAAAGCAGCAGCCATTAATAATGGATTGTTGAGATACTCTGGCCACCTGATTTCTTCTCCTTGGTGTTCCATCAAATGGATTGGATTTGGAGCCTCTTTCTCCCATGAGTAACTGTTGCTCTCGAAGAAGGAACTGCCGCTTTGTAGCTCGGTGCTGCTACTGCTATGAGGAGTAAACGAGGCCATCGAATGACTATCGGAGGAGACGGTGAGAGAAGGCTTGAAAGCCATGGGAGATGAGAGAAAGGAAGTAGTCAGTGGCGGGAGAAGAGTCGACATGGAACACGCTGAAAATTCGGAATCGATATCGAGACCTCTGTTACTAGTTTGAGTGAACCAGAGAGAAGGGTTCGAGAGTCGAGCGTTGGAGGTATAGTTCAATTGCTGAATGGGGAACTGACCATCCATGAACAAGTCCTTGCTGCTGTCGATTGTGTTGGAGCAAGGAGAGGAGCCTTCCATCGAAACCGGTCCCAATTTTGGATCGTCGGTGTTGAGGTTCAATTCGGTAGATGCACCAGAAGCCATATCCAGGCTATTTGTGGATTGTTGAATCTTTTTGTCTTCACCACCTTCAACCTCAGAGAGAGGCTTGTGAGTTACAGGATCAATGCCTCTCTGCCTAAGCTTCTTCTTCAAACAAGAGTTCCATAGATTCTTGATTTCATTGTCGGTCCTTCCAGGCATTTGTGCAGCTATTTGGGACCACCTGAAAGATCAAAGAATTTTCTTACAGATTCCTTCATAAAATCCATAATTATGAGAGAGAATAACAATACTAATACTAATAATAATACCTATTCCCCAGAACTGCATGTAGTTCAATTATAAGATTCTCTTCTTCCTGAGAGAATGTGCCTCTCTTTAAATCAGGTCTCAAGTAATTAATCCACCTTAATCTGCAACTCTTTCCACACCTCTGCAGACCTGAAAAATTTCTCATATTTTTTCAGAAACAATTAATGGGAAAAAGAGAAAGGATTGCATATAAAAGGTGACAACTTACCAGCTTGTTTAGGGACAGAGCTCCAGCAGCCATGGCCATACTTAGTGATATGCCTCAAGAGCTTCTCATCTTCTTCAGGTGACCAAAGACCTTTCCTAAGCTTCTGCTTGTAACAGCAAGAGTGCCTCCCCATTTCAAGACAAGACCAAATGACAATGAGGAAGAAAACCCCTTTCCTAAAACAGCAAACTTTGCTGAATCCTAGGTGAAAAAAAAAACAATTTGTCAGCAAATTAACAGTATCTTTGCAATGAAAAAGAGAGAATGAAAGAAAGAAAGGGTTTTTGAAATAGGGCGGCTAGAAAATGAAGTAAGAGCTGAGAAAGGGAGTTGAATTAATATAAGAGGAGGGTGTCCACAAAGAAAAGTCGCATTCAATAAGGTGGTATAACTTTTAAATGTATATATATATACATATACTATAGTTTTTTCTTCTTTACTTGTATATATTCCTCTGCTTTTTCTCATTTCTTTTCCCTCTTCTTTAATGTCTTCTGCAGGGATGGTGGAGCATTTCTTTTATCTGATTCCAAATGGTAAATTTTCAGGTGATGGCACCCACAATAAAAATTGCCAAAAGGTAAAGAATTTCACATACCGAAGGAATCATGGAAAATAACAGAGTCTCTTATATAATATTATTGATGGGAATAGTTTGTCATCAACTATTAGTGAATTATCTTTTTTTTGATTTAGGTAAAGAGTTATAGTTTACGATATAACGATCATTAGATAGTATTTTTCTGTAAAAGAGAATTGGACAAGAAGAAAGATGAAAGGAAAAAATAGTCTCAAGATTGTGGAACGTTCGATCTCTTTTCTAATCTTAATTAGGATATTTATAAGGTCACCATGATTATTTGTAGATTATTGGATTAGACAAATCTAGTAATGACTTTGGGTTTATGTTATGGTAAATCACGTGTTCGTGTTCGTGTCAGAGGTCTTATCCAGTGGCGGATGCATTCATCGTTAGGGTGGGCAAGTGTCTACCCTGGAATCCGGATTTTCTTCGATTAATCATCTATTTTATAGATAGTGTTTACCCTGAAATCTGAATTTCTTTCTACCTGAAATTTTATTTATGCTTACTTCATTTAAAACTTTTGTACAGTTAACATATATGTGCCCACGCTCAAATATTTTTCTGGATTCGCCACTGATCTTATCTATGTAACGTGATTGACTAGAAAAATTGTATATGGAGAAATACAGACTTATTAGAGACTCTGATAAGCGAAAAGATGTATTTCGAAGACCTTGACCGAAGGAATGTTTATAGTTTTAATGAAACTGATCTAACGAAAGTTTAAAGGTTTCGAAAGTAATATCGGGAATATAACGAATATATATAAAAGGAAATAGGATGCAGTCCACGCATTCATCTATGATCTCTTTTGGGGAATTCTTGAGAATCATGATCACTTTGAAAAGTTTAATCATTACGTGGAAAGAAACAAATATATTTCTTTGTTTGTGTTCTGGAAATTAAGAATGTGTTTCCTGTTTCCGATGAATTTGGGTGGAGGGTCCTAAACTGCCCAACTGGCTAACTCCACGAATATTTTTCCACTTTTAGATTCAAGACTGATTCATAATATATTTCCAGTCTCATTAAATGAAACATGGAAATGCTTTCTTCTCTCGCCAACCACCAAATTTGAGAAACGAATTAAAACTTCATAGACGTTGAAGCTTACTAATTAGTTTGTAAATTTATCAGACCATGCAATAAATTCCTACTACATCATGTAGATTTATTTCGTTTTTAGTAACACCGACTGCAACACCATTCATTTCTATTCGATATGTATCCGAATATGGGGTGAAAAATATTTTTGAAATTTAAGTGTGTTGCTATCACATACTTGTATGGTAGCTATTTCCCCCTAGGTTGAAATATTCTGGTTTCCCGGTTCATACTTTATCTGTCCATTGGAGGGAAAAAGAAAACTGTTAAAATAAAGAATCTAAATCCAGAGGGAGGGTTGGACTTTACGAGGTTCAAATAACATTAAAATTGACCCAAAGAACGGGAGAATTCATAAGAAATGTTAAGCTTGTTATACCCACCACCTACATGCCTTTGAGAATATTACTCCATCAGTGTAGAGCTCTTACATTGAAGGGTACTGTCTAGGTATACCCGTGATTGAAATGATCAGTACGGTTCTTTTTAGATATCTTAAATTTAAGTATGTCTTGTAAGATGTGTATGTTTAATATCAATTAATTAATAAAGTTTTAAATAAATACTAGTTTGTAAACGTTGGAACTAAAAACAAATCTTTGATATTTGTATGAGGTCAGTTTGTGCAAGAAAGCCGACTTCAATAAAAACAAAGTTCGACGATAAAATAAGTAAACAAAAGATTCGTTATGGAGATTAGTTTCACAAATAATATTAACAATTAAAGTTTTATATTATTTATTAATAAGCTTATCTGGACCACATTTGCTGAAATTTTGTTAGTCGGCCATGATTAAAAATCCAGAGGCAGCAGCTAAGAGGGGGGATAAACGAAATTAAATTTGTAATGAAGATACGATCAACAACACCGTGAATTATTATTATTATTTATCAAATGATTTAACAAGCGTATGACTGGAAAGATAACAAGAAATTATTCCAAATCATTAGCTGTCTGTCTCTGGCGGCGTGGCCCGCATTGCAATGTGAAACCCATGGGGGAATCTTTATAAAAAGATTACGCATACATCAATTATGTAATCGACTTTTTTTTCATATTCAATCGAATCCAAAAATAATTGCCTCAACCAAAGGTAGTGTCTGTCCAAATATTGTCCAATCGTTTTAACGCTAAACATGAATAAATTGAGGAGAGCCCGTAAGGACAGTTACTTCTTAAAATTTTTCAATTTTTTTATAATTATTTCTGTTCTTTTAAAATTGATAGACAACATATCTTCAATAAATCTAAATTTACCTCCTTTAACATAAAATTATACATTTAAGCTTGACATTAAATCCCATCTCGAAGTTTCTATATTAACTATTCTTAGTTTTCTTATCAAATATTTGCCCGTTAAATTTGTTTTTTATTGATTAAGTCAAAAATTTTAAGCTTTGATCATGATTATTTTAAATATTTTTAAAAATTAAATTTTATAAAATATATATTTCAAAACTATTTGATTGAATATTTTTAAAATATATTTATCATACTTTTATTGATGATAAATTTTAAATAATAATAATAAGTAAAAAATAAAATAAAAAAGTTAATTAAAAATAGTTTAAGTGGGACACAGGAATATAATTTACACTTAAAATTATTATGGTGAAAATGCTTCTTCTTCTTTTCATTCAGGATACTGGGTTGGGATCAACGGCAGATATGGAGTTTGATAAAGGTACAGATGGATCAAACGGTTGATAATACTTTGATGGAGTCGATTGGTGTAGAAAATCGGAATGGACCCATTGGATAATGAGAACGTCTCGTCTGCAATTGCTACCAACTGTACAGATAACAGATCTCCACAGTCCACACCATCGTTGTGGGTCTGAAGTGTCTAAAATATTACACATAGAAGCATAATTGAAGGGAATTTTTTTTAATATCTAATTATTTTATCATTAAATTAGTTTATAATTTCAAAATTTTTGAATAAATTAAAATCAAATATTTAATCAAATAAAATTAATTAAATAAAAAGTCTAAAATGAATAAATTTCATTTTATCAATTAAATTAAATTTCATTTTATCAATTAAATTAAATTTATTTTTATAAAATGAAATCAAATGAAATAAAATTTATTTTTGAATATATTTATTTAATATAAATTAAATTTATTAGTCATTTGTTTAAATATTTAAAATAAAAAATTAGTTATATTGTATTTAAAATAAAAAATAATTAAATTATAAATTTAAATTAATTGTAAAGATATATAACTTGATTTTATTCATATAAAATCAAATTCTTGAATTCGAATCTAATTTTATTTTCTCTAAAATAAAACCAAACTATAATTTTACCATCTTTTGGGGTAAGGAAGACCTGAATCTTTTTTTTATCTCATGCGAAACTTAAAATGGTCCGCTGGGCGCTAAGTTCATCACCCAAGAGTTTATTTGAATGAGTAAGTGCATAAATGAGCCCTCGATTATAAGGTGTTATTTTATTGAATCGTTCTACAATTAAAAATTACAAAATGATCTTTTGAGTATAGGATGTTATTTTTTGAGACTCTCGACTATTAAGAGATACAAAACGGTCTTCCGGTTAAAGGACATTGCTTTGTTGAGT